TCACTCCAATTCCCAAATTTCCCAATTCCAATTTCCCCAATTCCAATCACCCCAATTTCCAAATTTCCCAATTCCAATTACCCCAATTTCCAAATCTCCCAATTCCCAATCGCCCCAATTCCTAATTACCCCAATTCCAATCACCCCAATTCCCAATCTCCCCAATTCCCAAATTTCCCAATTCCTATTTACCCCAATTCCAATCACCCCAATTCCCAAATTTCCTAATTCCTAATTACCCCAATTCCAATCACCCCAATTTCCAAATTTCCCAATTCCAATTACCCCAATTTCCAAATCTCCCAATTCCCAATTACCCCAATTCTCAAATTCCCCAATTCCCAAATGTCCCATTCCCCAAATCTCCGAATCTCCAAATATCCCAAATTCCCCAATTCCCCCTAGAAAAACCACCAACATAACATCCTACAAACCCTCAAACTGAAAGCATCCCATCTCGCAGAAAAATGAAGAACGAAAAGACCGGGAAAATGGATGGAATAGCATTGGATCAGAAGTAACGCAGATAGTCGGTTCTTGAACCTTGATCGCGTCCACGTCATTCCGTTAAAAGCCGTTAGATATCCGATCGTTTCGCAAGAGGCAGACCATTGGGTGCCATCGAGCGACCTTGATCACCCATCGCAACACAGAGCACCGGGTCTTACAAGAATTCTTGCTCCGACTCCGGAATAAGAGGGAGAACGGCACGTTTTCTTCGGCCTTGAACGTCAGACATTCGTCAGACCCGGAGGAAGCGTCGGCCACAAAGATCCAGCACGATGGAGAAGTAAAATGAACGATATGCACCCAGGTCACGTTCGACGTTCGTGTCCGTCGAGCTTCCACGTACGATTTTCTACGTGTCTCCGTCGTCGTTTCGTCTTGCGGGAACGAAATTTCTTTTCGAACTACGGACTTATAATTCACACTCGTTTTAATTCTCATATGGTCCTCAGAGATTGTACAATAAATACAGATTATCTTTTTGTTGTTATCTTCTGGTTAATAAATTTTTACTATGAAATGTTATATGTACTTCATGAAGTTATGTATGATATACGCGCAATTAATATGTTAATCAAAAATGAATAATTCAGTGACCATGCGTACACACATCTACATATACGTGTTGTATAATTGAATTAAATATTTATTATTGATTAACATGTAAATTACACATATCTTAACCGAATCTTCACATAAATCAACAGGTACCTCTATGACAGAAAATGTACAAATTAGTGAGTAGCAGCAATTAGTGTACTTTTGGTTGGCGAAAAGAGAGGAAAACGCGTTCGAGAATAGTCGAACAACAAACATGGAGAAGGTAGTGGCACGTGTGCGCGTACGAGTGTCAAGCCGGAATTACCCAATGTATTTTGCACGCTGTCGCCTCGGTTTCGGGCATTGTGCGCGTTTGACCTAGCCATCGCCACCACGTGCTGCCTCTTCGTTCTATATCCCTTCTTCTTCTTATCCTCCTTCCTCCACACCCCCGCGATTCTCTTATCTTTCACCGAGATTAGCCCGCTGCGCAGTTCGCACGCGTGCAAACGCGATGCAACGCGAGGAACAAAGAACGATCGCGGGAAAACGTGCTCTATGCCTCATCCCTTTTGCTTTATTTGTACTGAAGAATGTTCGCAAACAGTGGGATTTTTTCTATAGTATTTGCTACCGTATTCGGGTTAACCTAATTGATAATAGTATCAAGTATGTGGATTATGGATATGTAGAGGCAAAAGTACCTTTTGAATAAAAAGGAATGGGGTTAATTAAGGTGGACTTGTTCGTGTGCTCCATTTTTGCTCATATGGAAAATGCACTCTGGAACCAGCGCTAATAATGTGCTTACATACCCTACTGTTCCACTTTTGGAAGTGTTAAATCTAGTTTACATTGGTAGAATAAACGCTGCTGTATACAAACGTTAATATCTTGCTTGCATGCCCTACTATTCCACTTCTGCAAAATTTTAGATACCGGCGTAAAGAGTTTAGAACCTTTCAAAGTTTGGTAATTCGATCATTTAGAAGTTGAAGTCTTGCAGAAGTTTGAAGAATTTGAACTGATTTGAAAATTGCGTGATGGACTTTGAAAATCATGGATCCTATATTAGCTAATTAAAAAAATGTAAGACTTAGAAAGTTAAGATTTGCAAATATAAAAATGTTAAATAACGAAGGTTGCATGATTGACCGATAAGAAACAAGTTTCCCCCGGTATTCGTCTGAGAATATACCCTTCACGAATGGTTCGCAGTATTGTGCGCAGTGGAGGACTTTCCAGTTAAAACGTGCAAATAAACAGCGGGAGTGGCTGGAATTAAGCACGGCTCCCGCGGAGGGCGAGAAGAGCGAGGGAAAAGGGAGTAAAAAGGCCGTGGAAAAGGAGAAACCCAAAGGGGAGGCGAACGAAACAGGAACAAGAAGAAAATTACTGCCAGAACCGGGCAGAAAGAGAAGATGGACGAGTGACACAAGGTGGTTGTGTGCTCGCTTTAGACTAGCGATGGCGTCAAAACCCTTCTGTTTCTTACACACAACTTCATTGTTACAGTAATTACCAAGCTTCTGGTATTTAATTTACAGGACGCCTTTTTTAAATCCAGGTTGCAGTGGTAATACGTGGCGGTTTAATGTATGGGGATATGCAATATAATGCGTGACGTAGTGGAGGTACAACACGTGACGAATACAATGAATCGGTAATAGGACAACGAACACGGCGTGTGCCGAATACAACACGTGAGAAATACAACATATGATAATTGGAACATATGTGACGATATAATGTGTGAGAAGTACAACGTGTGGCGATATAATGTGTGAGAAGTACAACGTGTGGCGATATAATGTGCGAGAAGTACAACGTGTGGCGATATAATGTGTGAGAAATACAACGTGTGGCGATATAATGTGTGAAAACTACGTGTGGCGATACAACACATAGCAGATACAATGCGTAACTACTTAATTCTTGATGAATACAGCACACGATCATAAAACTGATGGAAATGTAACGAGTAGCGAATAGAATGAGTATCGAACAGAATGTGTGGCAATACAAGAGGTGGTGTATCAAGTAAGGTGTTAGTTTCCGAGACTGGGCAGGGCTCGGTGCCATCGCTACTTTTCCAGGGCATCCCCAAGATAAACTCAAAACAAAGCGCCGTGGGATAACACTAATATAACGAACGGCCAGGGCACCAACACGAAAGTGAGGACAACGAACTTGCCCCGTAATACTTGCTGCGCATATAATCGCGATTCTGGGTTAAGCGCCCCGAGAAGCTCTTCTGCTGCGCAGAATGTCACGTGTGTATATTTATTACGGGAGAAATTGCAAGTGAGCGTCCGTACAAACGGCCCGTTAAAATCGCACGCTCGTGGAAACACCTTTCGCGCCATAAATCCTGCCAGCTGATTTCCATGAAGAGATTTTTTCAACGAAAATTTCTTAAAACTCAACGCATCACGATGTTAACAAATCTGTCAGCAGTTCAGTTTAAAAACTGAATAATGGGACAATTCCTATTTTTGCATCTCTGCACTGTAGAATGAAAGGCGTATAGTCAGCAGTAGAATGGTTAAAAGAATGAGAAATGATAAAGAACAGCAGTGAACAAAGAAGTGGCCCATTTCTGACCCGTTCCCCGAAGAAGCCCACTAAGGAGTCACGAGTATATAAACGCAGAAACAAAGAATTTGAAGTGTTAGATACGCAGCTCGAAACTTTAGAACGAGGAAGTGGTTCACAGAGGATATTCGGCGGTTTTGTTTTTTATCGTGCATTCCCAGCGAGCCTTTGAAACCACGGGTCCAGAAGGGTCCGCATGACCTTGCTCGATTCTTTGAACAGAGCCTCGTGCCACGCTCTTCAGGGTTCTATTCATTAACTTCGCTCCAAACCGTGTAATATAATGAGTAACTCGTCCTGAAACGTCTACTTATTTAACCAAATTCTATGATTCTGTAATTTGTACATTTGTGAATTTGCAAATTTGATAGGTTAAAAAATTGCAAATTGTCCTAAATTTTGTAGAATTGTTATATGCAGCAATTTGAGTTTTGAAATGAATAATGGTGCGTTGGTACAGGGCGCCATATTGCGATCCTTTGTTTGCTTCTTTAAGGTATTCCCAGTAATTGGCTCCGTTCGATAGTGCGCAACCCGAGATTAAACAGGAAAAGCATGTGTTTCCTGCAGTTTCCCGCGCGTTTCTTTGTTCTACAAACAAGAATCGACCAAGGCCTTCGAACTATCCCCTTATCGCGAAGTCCACTGTTAGCTACGCATAATCTGGATCTTTGTCAGCGATTTCAAACAAAGCGCTCGAAATCTCCGTTCGCTCGAACAGGCACGCAACTGCTCCTTATCTAATGTAAACTTTGCTTTTCCTTGTGGCCGAGAACCAACCATTTCAAAGAATTCTTTCATATTTAAAGAACGAAAACCTGGTCAGATATTGGTGTTCCCCGAATCCCATCCCCGATTCAGAATAAACAACTTTTATTCAAGTTCAGAAACGCTCTTCTGATAAAATGCTAAGTATGCCATAAATCAAATGTACAATTAACACATCAGTGAGATTTACGATATTTTCTTGGGCGTTCGAAAACTTAGAACTAGTATCTGAATGTTTAAGGACAGGATTAAGTAACCGATGATTAATTAACGATTATAATTAACCGGAGCCGTTATTCGTTAGAAGCGCGACGTATCTGTGTTTGAAATTTCCTCGACGACCGCTATTCGTCCGAGTTAAATACGTCAGTGACGTTCTCCGAAATCTATTGGCTTGTTAGCCAGTCACGTGACAAATTGGTACATTGCCAATCGCTACGATTCTGGCAATATGCCATTTGTTTACCAAACGTTTAAACGACTATATACATCTATGTGCATTACATATATCGGTTTCTGATTTAAAGAGGCTTACGGCTTATGCGATTGGCCTCTTTTCGTCAGGTGATCATTTCTTTTAATTAACTTACTTTTATCGATCCGCGCCGAAACCTGTCCCGATGCGATTCACGCTTTCCCTTTTTAGCCGGCAAATTGCGAGCCTGTAAATCACGAAGAAATTAATTAATTTCAATTAATTTTAAAATTTATGGACAAGGGACAAATTTGGGTAATAATTGCAAGATATGAAATGAAATATTTATTCCTGGGTATCGTTTACAAATTTTAAGCATTGGAAATTTATTTGAATGTCTCCCAATCGTTAAACTATTAATCAATTGTCCCTAAAAAAGCTGATTAAACATTTCATCACAATCGTCGACAGTTTGCATTCGATCTAAAACGAATTTCAGAGCCGGAGAACAAAAGACCCCGGCTCGGTATTGTCATTCAAATCCGACGGTTGTTCGCGAGTATTTTGCAACTAGCAGGATTCGTGACTCGATTTTGAAAGAAACGCGATCCTACCCTGTTGCAAATGCACAGAAACGTGAAGCGAATTAAACGCATCTCTCGCGCGCACCCACAGCCTGTTTTAAAAAGGAATTCCATCGAATGGAGGCCGCCTCGAAATTAGCATAAGAAAATTGGAAGCCCACTTTCGTGTCGTATATTTCGGACGGTCGACGTATCAACGTACAAGGAACACACAGGCATTATGCACCCACAGTTCTCCATTTACATTCGAATGATTCTTTCGAAACGTGTCCGGGTCACATTTTTTCTCTCTTTTTTCGTCGATAGCGTACAATTTTTGATATATTACTGATATGATTTATATGAAAATTTTTTTTATTCCTACACAGTTGCTTATTTTTGCTGGGGACTGTTATTAATGTCATTTGACAGAATAAAATTAGGTATGTTATTATTCTTTTTTGGTGAAGAGTTGTTAGAGTAAGAGGACTTGTGGATGATTTTTTACCTATTCACCTGTAAAATCACAATAATTTAAAATACATACATAACGAATAATTTTAAGTCTCAAAAATGTGGTAATATTAGAAAAATGTGATTAAAAGATATTGCTATATAAGAGCGTGAATGTTTAAATGTGAGTAGCAGCGAGAATCAGCTGATTAAGCATAAGTGCGTGTTCCACTTTAGCAAGCTACCGGTTGCATTTCCTCGAAATTCGATTTGAAGGAGGAGGAAACTCACGAGACGCGTTATCTGGACGCTCCTCGCGTTATTAAGCGTCGAGGCGCGGAATAAGTAGGCCAACTTCGCGGCGACGCTTTGTGATGTAGATAACTCGCGCCTAATGCAAATGCATTCGCACGCACGCGCGTCCGCTCGCGATGTGTTAGGCCTACGATGGAATGCGCGGGTAAACAAAGGGTATAGGCGATTTCGCGAGCACGTGAACTTCGTCGATTTTCGCTACGAAGGAGCGATTATTTAACGGTGAATTAAGTGGCGGTGACTTAGCGAGACAACTATAACTTAAATATGATTGGAACTCTTTCATCTTAAACAATATCTTACTCTTCTTCTAATAATGGAAATTGGTTTCGTTACATGTCTGAAGTTTACAGTGAAGTGAAATGCCTGCAGATGATTTTAACAGCTATGTTAAAAAGATAAATATGTGAACATAAGTTCGAGACCATCAAAGGGACCTTTGTCTCCGTTAATTGTAACGCGTTAATGAATTAATGGAGCCTTGAATTGTTCCATTGCTTTCTAATTATTCGAGAGCCCGTATCACGGGACAAAGGAAATCTACATTGAATCGCGATGGTCCGTGTCGGTGGAAAGCGGGCTTAAAGGCCGGCAGATTAGTTGTTGAGCCAAGAGCATGGCACGTACATGTGTAAGTCGTGATAATAATACCATAATTCCTGAAAGGGATAATAGAGTATACCAGTGACCTAGTGTCGCAACAAACTGCGAGCAAAACGACGTTTTCGATAGCGCAGCTGCGTTAAAATCATTGCAAAGTAGATTATTCTTGTATCGCACCTACGCTCCCTCTGCGTTCATGTTTAAATCCTACGTTTAATTATAATTCATTATCACGATTATAATTTTATAGCTTTACTCCATAAATAATACAGCGGCAAATGATTTTCACCTTCGTTTACAGAAATGGAACCTTAATTAGCTATCAAGGATCCTTTAATTAGCACGAATCTCGGAATATGGCGCTTTAACACATGGTTCAAAGATCTGCCAGATGTACGAATACCCGCGAAAAAAATATTTGCGCTGAACTACGTCGAAAGCTCTCTACAACGAAAATATTTGAACACCTGATTCCCAAACGTGGATACACGATATTTTTCAAGTTTACGATGCGAATAAACAATTTACGTATAACAAATATACTGTGCAAGTTAAAAAATATTTATATTTGCATTTTGTTCTATAATTGGAAAGCTAACTATCAGCTATCACAATTTCAAACGTGACTAGAAAATAAAATTTCCCCGATAACAACAGTAATATTTGTACTATTAAGATAGTTTCACAGTACAAAAATTGAAAGTTTAATTCAGTATTGTATCTGATAATCCCCGTTATCGACCGACAAGAATTCTATCATCGAAAACACTAAGTGATAAGAACATTTTTCTGCGACCTTGGAGATCGATGATCGTTCATCGATTATTCGTTCGCATTATCGTGTGGGAAACGTTATCGCGTTAATTCTTGGTCACGTACTTACCTCCATTAAACGATTCAGCACAAGTATTGTTAATTAACGGTAATTGAACGTTTTACGAGAGCATCGATCTAATATTTGCACGAACGCGATCGCGATGTTTAACCACCTAATCTTGGTGCACGACTGAGGTAAATATGGGAAAGTGGTCGATTTTCGAAGCGCTCTGTTTACATTGACGTTCGAAATTCTTTTCATTCTCCGAAATTTTTTATAAATTCTAGCGAAATTTTTTCTTTGAGTCTTACGAGGAACTGCATGAATTTTTTTTGAATTTTCAGCAATCAATTAGGATTTTTTTTTAGTAAATTTTCTGTTGGATTCATAGGGAGATGATAATATTACTAATTGTCATTATTCAGATTTATAAAAGTTAAATATAATACATGAAAAATAAAATCTGATGATTTCGTACCCGTCCATTCTAATAGTTAGTTATCTACACATATTATGCAATAAATTGTTAATTTAATCACGCCAGTTTCGAGTCTATATATAATTCCTTATCTCCTTGACGTTATTCGATGAGATTTCTCAAGGTTTATTTACGTTGCCATACTAAAATTATTATACACGTTTTCTGATTGTACGCATTCATTTTTTGAAACAGTGTATACATCATCGGATTACTTGTACGCTTATTTCTTAAAGCCTCAATGAACGTTAATTATGATAAATGCATAAACTGCAGCTTTATAAAAACACAGAACCGGATTTCCATTGCTACATTTTGCAACGTGTCGTTTCATGGTAGAAAAAGCCTTGCAACGAAAAAAAACCTCTACATTGCGATGATGCAATTAATCAAAGTGTCAGAAAGCAAAAATAAATCCTTCGCTTTGTTGTTTTGGTTGATGCGAATTTTATTCATGTGTTTTGCAATTTTTGTGCTGGGGAACTCGAGGTTTTTGATTTCTAAATTGGAGGGAGAATTGGGGAATTTTCAGATGGGGAAATTTTCAGATTGGGGAATTTTTAAATTGGGGGATTTTCAGATGGGGAAATTTTCGAATTGGGGAATTTTCAAATTGGGGAATTTGCAGATGGGGAAATTTTCAAATTGGGGGATTTTCTAGTTGGGGAATTGTCAAATTGGGGAATTTTCAGATGGGAAAATTTTCAAATTGGGGAATTTTCTAGTTAGGGAATTTTCAAATTGGGGAATTATCAGATTGGGGGATATTCAAATTAGGGAATTTTCAAATTGGGGAATTTGCAGATGGGGAAATTTTCAAATTGGGGGATTTTCTAGTTGGGGAATTGTCAAATTGGGGGATATTCAAATTAGGGAATTTTCAAATTGGGGAATTGTCAAATTGGGAAATTGTCAAATTGGAGGATATTCAAATTGGGAAATTGTCAAATTAGAAAATTTTCAAATTAGGTAATTTACAAATACTCCGATAAATTTCAAGATTAAAATGTCTCCAAACCTACACCCAATCTCCAAAATCCAGAAAATCCATAATTACGCTAATAACAGTATTGACATTGAACACAGTTTCGGTCATATGACTTCAGTTCCGCCCGGGGCCATATAGCGAACGCACGGTACCGATAGAAACGTGGCCAACGTTTCTCGGTCGATCGAGACTTCAATTAATCCACATCGAGCTCGATTACGCTCCGAACGGCTCTCGGCCGCTCCGAATGGATAATTCGACTCGAAGGTCGCTCGCGGTGCAGAAGGTTGAACGCGTCTAGATCTCCTTAACTGATGCAACACGCTTTGCTAAGATGGTGAAAAATGCGAGGACGATCGCAGATACCCGTACATAGCTACTAGCCGGGAGCTAGCTCGCTATTATCGCGAATTCTCTACACACTGTTGCAACTCTGTCGTTATTCAACGTCTCGTGCTTCGTATCCTTGAGTTTCCTTTTATTTTCTTCCGTTCGAATTATGAACGTCTCTTTGCTGGGTTTCGATACTCCCTTACGCGTCTTTTATCTCAAAAATCAAGTCTTAATCACTTACACGTCTCTAGAAATTTGAAGTTTGATATGAAGAAGCTTGATAAGTAGTTTTATACTGGTAACAAAGGAAATATTGACTCGGAAAACTTCTATTGGAAATGAACAAAGTGCAGTTATGAAGTGATGTGTACTTTTCTACTATTACTCTACTTGAAATAAATATTCAATAACACAGTACTTTAACGCAGTTCACTTTTGCATCAGTTACTCTAAAACAAACCAACATGGGTTTCTCCTAACCTTTACATAAGCAACACATCACACACGCACACATATGAAAATTCTTAATCGTGCAGGATTTGAAGACTTACAATTAACCGAGGGTTCTACCAAAAGTTTGTTCTATTCCCAAATTGCGTATCGAGGAAAATAATCGAACACGAGGAAAAATCGAAGGCGGAGGAAATTCAGTGGCCGGTTATTGTTTTTCTGCAACGGGCACCGTTCTCCGACAAGGCTATTTCTGCCTCCTCGTATTTCAACTCGAAACCGGACTCGTGGCACTAATGAATCGCGGTTCTCTTGGTATTGCATAAGCCTATCTTTTACTTGCGTTTTATACGACCATCGATTCATGCGCGCGCGTGCAATTTGTATTTATTGTACGCAACGAACGCCTTTACGAGAGATTTTGATCCTTCGATCTTGCAGCGGGACTCATTAATCTTACCTATCTTTTTTTATCGTTGCGAGGTTTTTTAAAACTGTCCTCTTTTCGTTCGCAAATTTTTTATCGTCTCGTTTATTGCTTTGAAAGGGCGATACAATTTAGGAGTCTTGCAAATTATGGGAGCCTTTGAAATAATTGAAAAAATTATTTCCTTCACACTAAAACTATCGACCCGATCAAAAGATCACTCCACAAGTATCTTATAATAAAGTAAACATTTTTGTTGAAGTGCATTCTTTGAAATCAGTATGAATTTTCATCAAGGTAAAGAATAAATGTCTACTAATTTATGTTTCATCGTCTGTTTTATTTTTTAACTTGATTTTTAATTTTAAACTAAGTACATTATACGTGGGTGGGTTTAGTGTAAAATAATTATGGAGTTCCTTTGGTGCAAATCGCAGCATGAAAGACGCGAACGATAATCGTTAAATTTAACCATCACTTTCGACACGGAATGCGACGAGAATTGGCTTGACCTACAGAGCTCTGTTTCATATTTATCGACAATGTTCGCGGTAACGTACCATAAATGATCGTCGAGAAATGCGCGCTATTTAGCTCGTTCTATTAAGCCTGCCAACGTGAATACGAGGATGAATACCATTTTTACGAAGAAATACAGAGTGAAAATTATCACGGTGAGGTTGACATTTGACCCTGCTGCATATATATTTTCTCTAAATTTGTTAATGCATCAAAAAGAATGAATGAATGATTGTTATTCAACTATCGTTTTATCGAAATTTCTATGGAATAAAATATCGATGAAGAGTGAAGAATCCTAGGGATACTCTTTCACCGTTTGCGTTCACGGCCACGGTGTGTACATAAACGCGTCGTAATTAAGAGTAAATCGCATTGGAATCGCGCATTAAGCGTATCTATGCGCATACATAAGCATATCCTGCAAAGGACAAAGCGCTGAAATGCCACAATTACGCGGAAAATCTATAAATATGTACACGGTGTACACCTACCTTATCGCGAAATACTCATTTTCTTTAAAACGTCCTCGAGACACGCTTTCAGGACGATCAAATGCACTCATAGGACAATCGACACAGTTACGGACAAATAATGCAATTACAGGACAATGAAATAATGCATTTACAGATAAATTTTATTTATTGAGAATCTCCAAAGAGGAAAAATATCGATGGTTTTCGATTTTCTTTCGTGACACGAACAATATTCTCTCGTTTGTACAAGCGGCATTTCCATTAAAAAAGAAACCTCTCATGGCTCTTGTCTACAGCCACTTATCTTTACATTCCAAGGAAGCCAAGGTTAAACGGACAAGAAAAAAGAGTAATGAACGTTTGTCTTTTTTGAATGGATATGTTTGAACGAAAAATAAATACGATATACTTCGTTTAACCTCGCTCTTGATGTGTCAAAGGGATTTTCTCCGTTGGGCAAAATGAGAGGAACCCCTCTCGTAAGAGAAAATAAATACAATACAAATTTCTCCATTATCTCTATTAATCTCTTCTAAATAATTAATAAAGAATTTTAAAAATAATATTAATATTACAATTGGTTTTACACTCTATCTACACTGCAGCACGATTTGAAAAAAGATTCCGCACTTCCAGATGCTCCAAGAGTACCCAAAATAACAATGTAGTCACGATACACCTTGATGAGCGAGTTAATTAAAGTTCGATCAATTAGAGAACGGGGTCGTCCGAATGACTTCGTGGAAATTATGTGATGCTCGTTGGCAATCAATCGATGCTATTACTTCACTATTTGACTTCTTGTAGTTACTAGCCAATCGGATAAAAATACAAGGACGATTTCGATTGGAACGCTTCGACTTCCTCTACAGACGAGATGTTGATCGATGACCGGTCAAATTATGGTAATTGAGTGCATTCATCAATGCCTCGATTCTGTGCAAATTTCTCGGACTCTTACTTTCAGAAATTGAACGTAATATGCTTCAAACTCATATATGCTTCAAAACTAAATGAAAAATTCTGAAATAAAATTCTTAAAGTCAAAAGTTCAATTGGAAGCTGAAAGATCGTAATTGGCAAAATCTATCCGTATGCTACGTTATTTTTCGACAGTCTAATTTGCAGAGTAATTCATCAGATTACCGATATCTGCGGATTAGGAAGCAGAAATTTTCGTTTATTAACGTTGCAACCACAAAGGATCAACGGCTGTTTGCTTTCCTCCGCACGATAAGTTACGTCTGATAACAGCACAGTCCAGCTGATAACGTTCTGATAATATTGACGATAACTCGTCGATATTCCCCCTGCAATATATCGTTTCGTCTGATTTCGATCGGACAATATCAAGGTTGTAGTCTCGAAAGTACCTGATTTTCGACTAAAAGCTTGCGATTTGTCTTGTAACGATAAAACACAAATCGTGTTAACATCGATGTAAATAATTAATTGAACTTTAATTTAAACTCAGTTTCGTTTCAATCTTTTTAATCGAGTCGACACTTAAAAATTGGTAATTTTAAGAACACGAAAAATGAGCAGAAAAGTGAAGTAGAAATTTAACTCGATTCGAATCAACAGAGACGAATGATACAAACGCAAGACCGATTGCCGTGAATAATTCATGAGCCTCATACGTGAACGGTCGTTTCTCATATTCTGAGCGTTCGTTTACGAGCCGCGTTATTCCTGAAAGATCTATGAAGATGAACGACTCGAACAGAGCCTGAATCAACCGATAGAGGCAACATTGTAATTGACTATTAATATAATGCTTTCCATAAATCATGAATTATTTGAAGCCCGTGTTTGCTCGAGTACTTTATTCGATTGAAAAGAAATCGTAAATGTATTAATCACCCCAAACCCCCATCGTCCCAAGATAAAATATCTTAAAGATTTATTGATTGGTTACCCGAAAAATATGTATTCTAACACCAAATTAATATGTGAAGACAATTTCGTGATGCAATGAATTTCCAGTTATTCTAGCAGAGTAGTTGGAGGTAAATTCACATATCGCGTTTTAAACGATCGGTTATTGGTCAATTTTTGATTCTACATCGAGATTTGTGAAAGCGTTGCTGTAATCCGCTCGGAACTGACCGCAGAAATTTACGATCGCCGTTGCACCGATCTTAATTTGTACCGAGAACTTTCCCAATTGAGCCAATTAGCCAATTGCGATAATTAACACGGTTCACGATGGGATACGCGAGTTCCAGCTGGAATTCCGGTTTCTCGAGAGAGACTTCGCACCGGAATTCCTTCTGTTTCGAAGAACAAAACCGGAAAATTACACCATTTCGGATTTGATCTCGTCTTAATCTAAGATCAGCGAATAACGCAGGGGGGAACAGGTTTAGAAGAAGTGCTGCATGTTACGTTTAATATAGTGAAATTTTATTTTTTCATCGTATTTCATTCAAAAATAAAATTATTCGTAAAAAAAGATTTCTCCGCTTTCGTTCGTATATATAACATATACATATGTTCATATACTCGTGAATATGTACATATACAAATATATATATCTAACGCTTATATATTTATATACATACATATAAATATATAATATATATTTATCTCCGTAATATTATTACATTACAAATAGCAATATTTACTCTTCATGTATAGGGTTATACGTAACTCTATATATGCGGTGCATATCGTCGTGTCATTATCACCGTTATCACTATCATTTATGTATATATATATCTATCTATATATAATGGGGTTTTCGCTTACTGACTAAATCACATTGTGGTTTTTGCTTTACTTTCATACGTTGTTTGTGCCTTCGATTTTCTCGCTTAACTCGCGGTATTAAATCGTCCCATAAACTCTTGTTTCAGAATCTCCTACTTTCTTTTCAACGAAACTTGGAAAGTGAAGTCTACAAATTTAACGAGTGTGTCGATTGTAAAAGAAGTTATTTATGGAACGATTTAATATACTTATGCTCCTTAACCGCTAAAAAAAGATCAAAAATTTCTCGACGACAAGTGTTCGAAGCACGATTTCGAGAACGAAGAATAAAATCGTGCGGGGAAAACTTGCGATCGCTGTCGATGCGGTATCTCCTTTTCTTTTGATTATTTTTATTACTTTGAGAAAAAGGCACGCCGTACGTGATGGCTGATTCTTGAAACGAACAAGCGTCTCCAAGATTCGTAATTTCTTTCTAGCTTCATTGTGTTTCCATCACAAAAGACCTCGGGACAAAAAAAAGGCACAAAGGAATCAAATTCTTTCCTTTTTACCATTTTTTTCTCTCTACCAAGTAAAAAAGCCTTCGAATACTAAAAAACGCCGAAGAGACCTTTCATCGAGGGAACGCACTCGTAATACAGCGAGGATGATCGCGGAATAAATTAAAAAAAAAAAAGAAAAAGAAATGAGGCTTCGAAGCAAGAGAAAAACGGAGCACGCTTATCTTACAATGTTAAGAGAGATTAATCAGAATGTGACTTAAACGAACGCTTCAATGATTCAATAATTAAGTTATAAAAAAAGAAGATTCTTACGCAATTTCCTACGAGATTGAGAAATAAATAAATCGTAATAAATTATGCTTGATCGTTGAAACTATCGTGCTAAGTTACATCCTGTAAGAATTGTCAATTGTCGAAAGTCGCTTGTCAAAGGAGCGGAAATTCTCTTAAATCAACTTCGACTTTTAGAGAACAGGAAGACTTAGATCTTTCCAACTTCAAATATTATATAAGTTTTACAAACATTGATGGCCATTTTTGTAACTTAAATACAAGTTCGATTAATATGTATAACAGTTAAAAGTCACCCTTGGAATTCGATAAAAACACGGTCATTTTGTAATGCTGAAGACTACAGAAATACTTGCCCGCGCTCTAAAAGTCAACTTCCCTCCTTCGGACAGGTCGTTCCGATGATCCCTTATGCCTTATACGAACGTCCAAAAATAGCGTATCAATAACTATTGCTGTTCTTTCCTCGAATCGCAATCTCCTCGAGTTACATCGAGCTTTTATCAATTAACCTTCTGCGGACCGTTTCTTTCCTTACTGCAACGAGGATGTAGTCAAACGATTAAAAAAGGAAAATACGAAGAGAGAGTCTTCTCTGATAATCGAACGATGGGGAAGCACATTGGACCGCAAAGGATTGCAACGTTCATACAAAAGGTATTTTACAAAATTTTTCTAAAAAAGGCGCGACTTAATTTTCTTACGGTGATTCCGTGCTTAATGGCACTACGGTGACGCTGTGTGTACGATTCGGTTACCACATAACGCGTTGAATACAGCAATCTTTTTAGTTCTAATTCGAGTATTGCACTTGATATCGCTTAGTCCAACGTGAACGGTGCAGATTTCATTAATATTCACCCCTCTGCTTTTAAAATAAAATGTACCAATAACTATCTTAATTTTTCTATAAATTTGTAAACGTTTCTTTTAACCCACTTGTGATCACCAGTTACGTGTTGTGACTTAACATTTCCAATAAATTTAATTACCCCGCCGCATTCAACGCATTGAAAAAGTAAATAAAGAAAAGAAAGCGAAGAAAATGAATCGTTCGGTATTCTCCGAACGTATCCGAACAAAAGAACCCCTCCCTCCAATATCCTTTCTGTTTCCCTTAAATGCATCTTGTGGTCGCATGTGGTAACACAATCGAATCCACGCGTGTATAAGTGTGTACACACGAGTGTGTCCGTGTGTGTGTACATTTTATGCGGATCTGCACGTAGCACGCGGTGCGCATAAGTTACGAGGGCATACTGGACAAGACTAGATGCACATATGACGAAAAGAAGGTTCCAAGATGAATATCCTAGAACCGTGAAAGAAAGAACGACAAAAATGGGGAGCACCGTTTGTTACGTGCAGACCGCGTCTTAAAAACTACTAATAACGTAAGAGAAAGATTTGGGGTATTTTTTTCGCGAAGTATTAACACCTGATCGACGTATAGTCTCGTTATATTGCCACTAGTTACGTTATTGACCGAGTTTAGAAATTCGAGGACTTGGAGATTTGGGAAATCTTAATTCCTCGGTAAATTGCGTACCGAAACCGTCGATAAGGTGTCAAATACGATATTCGAATGTCCTAATTTCTTCAGGGATGCATCGAAACGCCAAGAATAAAGATCTAATTCGAAACGGTGATTTCAACGCCCGCAATTGCTCCATACGTAACCCTATTTTGTACAGCCTTAAAACAATGGTTGAACTATTATAAAAAAGAACGGGGTTCAACGAGGGTTTTCACCCAGAAAATCGATTGCAATCGAACGAACGGCCGTAAGCCCGCTGTTTTTCAATTTTCAAATAAAGAAAAGGACAAACAGAAGGGTTTGAACAGTATCTACAGCACCTTACAACGATCGTCGTTGATTATCGTATACGCACCGGAAAAATGGAAAAACAGCTCTCCGATTACAATCGATACGAAAGCACTTTGTTACTCGATCGCTTTTCTCGCATCTTTGTTCACGCATCCGACATATTCGTCCCTCTCGAATGAATCTTACAATTATCTTAAGTTTAGTCGTTACTCTGCGCGTGAATACGTACGTAAATAGCGTTTTATTTATTTATATACATTCTACGAGTCTTCTTCGAAAGAAGCTTCTTTTGATTGAATTCAAAATTGCCGCTCATCCAATGGGACAACGAGAAAGAATGAAAAGAAACAATGAACAAAGAGCTGGTTCGCTCTGCAAAAATCTATATCTCGTCAAAGTGTTCAACGTTTAAGAAAAGAGAAAAATTGACAGGAAATCCTGAACAAAGATCGTTCTAAACCAGCGATGGACAACTGAATTTATATTTGCTAACTTCCTAAAATTTCTAGATTTGTAAATTCGAAAATTTAAAATCTTGGAGATCTGAAATTTCTATATTCGCAAATCTGCCCATCGCTGCTCCAGACCGATTCGAAGATCTCGCGATTAACGACGATCTTACCGACTAATAGCACGCGTTTGTTAAAAAAAGAAACAACGCAAGCGATCACAATCTACGTGGATCGATTACAAAGAATGCAAAGAGGTATTATTTTCCTCGAGAGAAAATGAAACAAAGAACGACGCGATCGAGCCAGCAGAAACAACTAATCGAGACCGTCGCAGCAATTTTGTTCCCCTCGGCGAACATACGTTTACACCGGGCAAACAAATGCACGTTCTACCCCAACTTGGACAAAATTCGATGTTCCTTTCCTTTTACATTTGAATTTTGTCGAGGACGAGGCAGAACGGGCAGCTGTCTGTCCGGTGTAAACGCACCGTTAGAATGGAAAGGTTCTAATGGGAGATTCAAATCTCCCGCCAGTACTCGCGGTTCTCCAAAATGGCCGCGGTTCGAGGTCCCCCTCTCCGCCGCCAGGTCCCACCCACTCCCTCCTGTCACTCGTCCATGCTCGTCGCTCTTCGGCTCCCCACTCTCGCCCAATGATCGTCCACGCTCGTCGCTCCTTAGCGCCTCCCTCTCTCTTCTCCGACCATGCTTGTCGCTCCTCGACTCCCCCCACTCGCTTCCAACGCACCGTTCAAGGTGTTCCCCTCTCTCTATCCTTGTCCTCTCACCGTCGCCCTCCAACACACACGACACGCGTTTCACGTGCGTGAAAACTCGCCACACGCAGAGATACAGATGGTACATTTCATATTTCGTGTCCCTTTTGCAAAGCGCGGCACGTCAAGGCACTCCCTGTTTCTTTCACGTCGTTACACAGGCCAACTCGATCCCGGAAACCGTGAAACGAAAACGACGACACCCGTGAAAAGCTTCCTACGAAGATAGACTTCGACGGGAGCCAGGGTCATCGTCTAACGAAACAAAACACGCTGGAGAGTCCAATGTAAAGGGCTCAAAACTGACCCGACACGGCCATGATCTGGCAACCCGAGTGCACGTGGTCCATCACCTGCTCCTTCAGCCGACACACGTGCTCCTTCAACTTGTGCACGACGGCGCTCAATTCGCTGTTCTCGCCCTTGAGCAGCTTAACCTTGTCCTCGAGCCTGGAGATGCGCTCCAATTTGCGTCTGCGGCATTTGGACGCCGCCACGCGATTCCTCTGACGTTTCCTCTCCAGCTTGATCCTCTCCTGGTTCTCCATGTCGATGGGCGACATCGGAGGCGAGCTCGACACGCTCGGTACCGTTTGTGGTTCATCCTTGATCTGCATGAGACCCTGACTTACCGAAGATTCCGTGCTCTGCACGCTGCTGGGTGGTTCCAGGGTCGTATACGTCGCCCCATGAATACTGCCCGGTTCTTGCGAACTGTCCGAATGATGAAGCTCGTTGAGGGCTTCGACGAAACCGCGAGCGTAAAGTTCCTGGGCCTCGGTGACCGCTTTAGGGAACAAGATCTGCGTGGGCGTCGGTAAATTCGACGTCACGAGGGTATCCTGCTGAGCTATGATGAACTTCTCCAGTTCAGGCGAGCCCAGTTTCAACATGTTCAAGTCCGGCGAGCTTAAAATAGGCGTCACGTTGTTGAGCGCCGGTGGCAGAGGCCCGAGTCGCGGCCTTTTCGCCTGCGGACCCTGTCGCTGACATCCGTTCAAGTCTAACGTAAGATTACGTTTCAACTGGCCCACGTTGTTCTCGCGATTCACCACGCCGTAGACGCTCGTCTCCTCGTAGAACGTCTGCTCCATCGTCGAACTTCGCACCATCGATGCCGCGGGACTGATTGCGTGGCCAACCAAAACTTCGGCTCTTGTAGAGCGGCGTTACTTTGCCGTCGCTGGAGAAAACCGCGATCGGTTCGCTCGATTTATCGACCTTCCGTTTCGCACCGAGCACTAACGTGTCTAGTTTTTCACTGTTGTTACATAACCATGCGAGCGAACTGCATTTATTGCACTTTTGCTAGAGCAATTCGTCGACAGATTGTTCCAACTCCGACCGTGTACGCGTTTACGACACTCGCGATCGTCCCGGAGTTGAGACGCAAAAAGGTGGGTTTCGACCACCGCTACGCGGCGACTCGTGTAAACACGACACGTAGAAAAATGCGGAGCTGCTCGTTTCAGAGACCGACGGTGACACGAGGACCGACCTGGTTCAACTGTCAACACAACAATGACTCACGACACGCAATCCGACGAACGTGATGTTCTGCGCGTGTGCACCTCTAGAACAGTCTGCGACGCACGTCGAACGCGGATGTTGCTCAGCCGTACGGCACGATGTCTCGGCAACTTGTGAACACCCAACTAAACGTACTGCCTTATATCCCGTGACTCACGTCCACTAAAAATAGCTCGGTCGTCACCGGGGAGCGCGCCGATTGGCCGGCGCTGGCGTCACTGGCCCATTTCCATTGGTCGAGCAATCGGCGCTACTAGGAAATGGCTCGCGCATGCGAGACGCTGCTTTATCGCTGCCGTGGAGGGAGAGTTTGAACGCCCGGTACGCGCGTTTAAGACACAACTTTTACTTGTTGAAATTCGCGTTATTTTCGAGCCCCGATAATAACGGTGCTCTATAACGTTGCATAAATAATACGAGTGCTATTGAATGGCTAAACTGTCGGTCTTACGCGCCGCTTCGCGGATTTAGTACGCGTTCTAGATTGTAACGAGTTACGATAGTACGCGAGCCTTTTTTATTTTTCGAGTTTACTATTCCGCTCCCACGCTGGTTGGTGTTTTTCGCGTTCTCGCTGCGCGTATTGCAATTATAGCTTGTTTCGTACTCCACGTTCGACGATGCATACGAATTTACCGTGTATTTTTCTCTTCGAAACGAAAGATAACTCCCAAACGACGCTGAGATTTGTAGGAGTAATTCATTGCTTTACGCTTTAACGTTCTAACTATACCGTGATGATGTTCGCATGAACGAATACGCTAATACAAACATCCATTACATAAACTGGTATCGACGAGCTATAAGTCAATACACCAATCACGATTGTTTCGCGCTATCTTGCATTCACTGAATAATGCTTGTAATTGACTACTAGTATCTTGAGCGAAAGTGTTCCGCAATCTTAATTGATGTTAATTCATTGGTATTCTGTAACTAGGGTTCGACGATGGTTAATTAAAATTGGTTTGTACGTTTGTTAATAAACAATTTCAACTTCGATTGTTAATTTTTACTTTCGTCGAACAGTAAATAATAGTCGAACCCTGTTTACAGAAACAGACGTTGTAAAAGTAGGTGCCACTTACCCTCACGACGATCCGGTTAATTGTTGCATATTCGAGCAGGTAAAGTGTTTACTTTCTTCCGGGTGTCATTAACCTTCAGGTAAATTGTTTACCGACCGCTAAATTGCCTGAAATCAAAAGAATCAAGATTAGTATGATTCATGGGCTTACATGACGTAGAGGAGGAAAAGTAATATATTGTATATTGCAGTATAAATTATCTAATCGCGTTGTACCGCACAGTAATATTATTTCATAGTATGCATAATCGAGATTGTCATAGAACAACCGTTCGTTTCTTTACCTATTTCTTGGAACGGTATTGAAACAGTGACACGAAAACAGCTACATAATACACGTATATTTATTATGCAAATTAAGCATTGACCTCAGGTTTAGGCTTTTAGTAGCAGAAAGTTCCGCGTACGCACACCCACGCCTTAGAATTGATACCAAGTGGCAGTTCAATTAATTTTTCCAGATATACGTCCCTTCCAATTATTTTACGTATCAACTAATTTTTCTAATTTTAAATTAAATAATCTTATCTTACTATTATATCGTCACGCGTTTCATAGCCTTGCGTTATATCGCCATGAATTATAGACACATCCTATATATCCAAGCACTGTATCACTGTGCGGTATATTGTCAAGCGTCGTATTGTGAACTAATCGTGTAAAATTAAAATGTGAATAAACAATATTACCATCAATTATTTCTTCGAAAATGTCATTAAATTGATGAGGGATCGGGAGAAATCAGGAATTGGTGGTTTGTTCGCGTGGGCGAAGCGATGCCAGCTACTTTTTTTCATCTCGAAATTGAACAAACATAATTAATTTCCGCCTCTACGTTGACCACACTATAGACATGTCAGCTGGGGATAGAGAAGGTTAAATCCATTATACATAACACCTCTTGCTTGCTTGAGACCTAACCTTTTTTTTATTTATGCACCGAGGCGACCTCTCTGAATGCAACTGCAAAGATCGATCGTTTTTAAACAATACTTTCAATTATCAAACGCACAAAGAACCGCGCCTTTTTCCCGCGAAAAATTTTCAATCATGTATGACGATTCACTAATACACGATACATTAATAATATATGTATTAATATATATTTTTTCGGTGCATAAATAAAATTCACTACAAGCTCTCTAACTTATTTGATAATTATGTAAATTATGTACAAATAACAATATGTATGATACCCATATAAATTTCCACCATGTTGGATTTCAATATACGACTATTATTAAAGTTTAATTTATCTTACTATACTGCGTAAAATTGAAGTTTAATGATAAAATAAAATAAAGTACACTTACCTTTAAGTAAATTACTGTAAATTTTCTTGAAATTCAATAAATTAACACAGCACTTTATTCACAGTTGTCTGATTTAATTTTATGCACCCTCTCCCTGCAAACGTGTTTGAACTACTAACGGTTTTCGTGCAATTTATCGAAATTACTCTTCGACTATGAATAATCGATTATCGATATATATCAAACGCGGTTAAAAGCGCACGATGTCATTGATTTGAAATTAAAACTGCGAAGCTTGAAAAATGAAATCAGCAAATTATATTAATTAAAATATTAATTAAAATATTTAATTTAAAAATAATTTAAATTAAAAACATATTGCAGGTTTACAAACGTTTGTTTATTATCGCAACAGTAGTTAAGGATACAAAAGGTACGATATATGAACGATACTACTAAAGGAAGCCAAACTTTTAGAACGATGGCCGTGTTAAAGCATGTCGATCTCCTGTAAATAATTAACAGTGAATATAATAAAAATGTGCGCAACGATGGAAGCAGAACAGTTTATATAATGTAAACCTAATTTGTCTCATATTTCTATTCGTTCAATCAAATTGATTCAATTTCTGTATTCTTGATGTATTTAATGAATTCGTCATAATGCATTGATACTTTATGTACATTATTCTGATAATCACACTGTGTTTCAGAAACACATTAATTTTCACTCGTTATTAATGGTACATTAATTCCTCCGTAATTTCCTAAAAAAGGTATCAATTATGATTTAGTGTATAATACAACTATAATTAAACAAAAAAATAAACTACTTACCTCTTTAAGCTTGGTTCATGGAAAGTGGTTGGAGCCCTTTTTCGTCTAGGACGACTAATTGCGTAAATACTACTTGTACTCGTATTACTGTTTTCTGAATCGCTTGAATTTTCTGTTCTTGAACATGGACTTCTGCAAGTAATAATTATAATTTTGAAACTTAAGAGTGGATCCCAGTTGACACAAATTTGGAAAGTCTCTATACTTACAAAGATTTACCCGACTCCTGCGAGTTTGATACTTCAGGAGATGGTGTTCTAGATTTAACGTCAGATTCGTTTAGTTTCTGTAACACTACTTTAACAGCGCTTGGATCCTTATTTCCAGATTGATCTTTTCTTTTTCGACTACTTTTCCTGTTAAGTATTGGTGTACCTTCCACAACGTCTTCCGGACTTACATTCTTAGATTTCTTCTTCTTTTTCTCCTTGTCATCGTTGTTATTTAATAGTGGCAGTTTTACCGTAGATTGATTAAACGTAAATTCGTCTAAACTATTGTTTGCAACAGATGGAAGAGGGCAAATTTGAGTTATTTGTTTAAGATTGGTGGTTACTTCAGGTTCTGTTTCAACTGGAATATTTGTCTTCAGTGCAGACTCTTCTAAAACTGGTAATTTTAAATCGTTTATATCAAAATGCATATTATTTGGTCGCATATACATTAAGGTAAAGTCGTCATCTTCTTCTTCACTTTCGAAACAGCCTCGCCTTTGAGTAATAAAATTTGGGAAGTTCATTGCCAGTTCGTTTTCTACTTTACATTCATTCTCGTTTATGACTGTTGTGTCAGTCGAAGTTGATGCGTTATAAGAAGTATCGTTGTTTTCGTTCGCTTGACCATTTTGATATTCATTTTCGTTATTTATTTGTTGATCCAGTTTAGAATTGGACATACTCCCATCACACTTGCTTGTTGTCGACAATGACGAAGTGTCTTGAGAACTTTTCTCATTGTCCGATTCATCACTTAATTCAGTTACTCTTAAAGTTATATCCATACTATCATCATTAGAAAGGGTATCTTCATCAGTCTTTTTGTCCTTATTTTCAAATGAATTAAACGTATGTCGCATTTTATACTTAAACGAAGGCACAGAACAAGTATTATTAAATAACCAACTTGGTCCTTCAAGAGGATCCTCTATATCCATTGCATTTTGTGTTCCATTCATATTTTCATGCGTCTTTGAAGTATTATTTAAGTCATCATCGTTTTTTTCATTTTCATCTTCAATAGTTGTATCACCATTAGTCTTTGAAACATTAGGAGGTGATAATTCTGGTAGTTTAATACTTGTCTGAGAATCCTCTGGACTTACACTCTCATTACTCTCTAAGCTCTCATTTCCCAGAGTATTTCGATTCTCTGTTAACTGTAAAGAACAAGTAAATTCATTTAAAATGAAAATAAATTTAATCGAACTTTCATGAGTTGTATTAAAAAAAAAAAGATTTATGAAAACACAAACCTTCCGGATGTTAATGCTTTGGGAATTTTGTAACAATTTTGATACATCGTTAAGTTTTACAGTGGGACTTCCGATGTACTCAAAATTTTCAATGCTATTACGAGTACTGTTACCTCCGGATAATTTCCTCGATTTCGAAATGTTTCCTGACATTCTTCCTGAACGTCTGTTACTCCTTTTACTTAGTCTGCGTTCACTTTCATCTGTAGACACGTGTTATGATATGAAATTAGTCTACACTAAATACGCTATTACAGCTATCAATGTTGAAATATCATACCACTATGTCTTGGTGAAGTGACATTTAATCTTTCAGGCATTCTATACATACGGCCTTCTTCCTATAACATTCAATTGATTTAGACATATGTATACATGTATGTATTTCCACGAGAAGTTGCAAATTTGAACAAAATACGTACGTTTCTACGTTGACTCACATTCAACCGACCAGGCGTCCTTGGACTGTTTAACTCTTGATTCCTAGGGGGTGTTGTTACCTCTTGTATTACGCTTAAGTTTGATGAATTATTAATATGTTGCATATTTACTCTACTTAAATTAATGGTGGGTTTTGTAATGGTGTGACCGCTCACCATAGGCTTCACAACTCCTCTAGTTGGAGATTTTGCTGACAGTCTTCTGTATGAATCTCCTAAAATGACTGCTGGTATTAAATATGATACTTGAAGATAAAAACAGCACATAAAACAATATAAAATATATCTTACTCCCAGTAGAACTAGCAGACATTCTTAAATTACTTGTAGGAGATGCTACAAACTCTTGACACGTAGAGATGGTATTTGTTAAATATCCAGTCATAGTTACTATCATTTTAAGCATCTCCTTCGCATTCTTTAGAATATTGGATATTACAGCCTGAAATATTTTAACATATTATGAAAATGATTAGATTTTATTAAATACCTTACATAAAGTTTACTTACATCACGTTTGTTACATGCTGTACCTAAATCTTGTACTTCTGCAATTAAAGCAACATTCTGGGAAAATAATAACTGACTCTCATGTTTTTCTTTAGACAATGCTTTTGCTAATGAACAATTATTACTTTTTAATTTTTCACATACTGAAAAAATTAAATTTCATTTTAATAAACACATGGCATGAAGTATATACAATTTGTTTAAAACTTACATGGTTTGTAAGATCTACTTCTTAGATAATTCCTTAAATATTGGGTCTTTTTTATAAGCACTGCAGGCCTTTTAACTTTTCGATGTTTCGGTATCTGAGGCATTTTCCATTTATTATTTGATTTTCTAAAAGTTCCAGAAAGATATTGTCAACAATGTTGTTATATTACCAACTTATTTTTCCAAGAAAATAATATGTAGATACACATATTAGCTATATAATGTTATATAAGGAAAATAAAACACATTATCCTTAATTGCAATAAATGGAGCATATTTAAATATTTGTAGGTCAAAGTTTTAAATTTAGGAAATAATACATAATAGAAATATATATTATTCCACACATTTTTATGCATTCAAATAAAAATAAAGAATTATGAAAACTTCAAAAAGTACGCTTCGAAACTTGTATAAATCTCAAAATTCACTTCAAGTCAACAAATATATAACATTAACATTTACCTGTCAACTAGAACAAATTGTCTCTGAATCGAAAGTTTATTTGTAAACAACGCGTTTTTTCGTTTCAATGCAATAAATTAATATCTTCTTAAAATAATACAGTTGCATCAACGATATGGTATCGGATTTAGCTATGCATTTCCGCCATTGTAAAAGCATAAACTTTACAACCGCGGGTTAAGATCATTGATCAAGATTTCGATATTGCTTACTTGTTATTGGATTTATAGAAATATTGAACGCACTACTTAACGAATCAATATTTTAAATCATTCACAAGGCAATATTTATATTTATTTAATTCAATTGAAAGTTACATAAAAAATACACCAACGTGCGTGGTAGGCTTTCATACGGAAAATGTCTATGTATGGGAGAAAGATCCCACCACTCGTTGGTTTCAAATTTGGACAGTTATCAACTTGGGAATATTAATATTTGAGGATTTAAATATATGAAAATTTAGGAATTTGAAAATTCGAAAGTTAAAAATTTGGAACATTTTGAAATTTTCGAACTTCAAATTTGTGCACTTTTTCTCTCAAAGTCGAAGGCAAGTGGTGAGGTGCTTTCCCACTACATTATTTGATTTGTATTGAAAGGAAAACTATTTTCTTAGGAATTCAATAAATTAAGATCAATGTTCATAATAAGTGTATTTTACAGAAAGAAAAGTATATTTTACAAAATCAATTAGTGAAACTTAATATTTCTGATCTAGGGTTTTAAGATCTCAAAGTAAAATTTTGATCTCTAAATTTATTTTTCATTTATGAAACTATTTTCATAGAGAAAGATAAATGAAAATAAGCTTCTGCACTCAATTAATACTTCCAGATATATTCAAATTTAATCATTACTTTATTCATGATTTATCACACATTGTTAACCCTCTAGCTTGAAATATCATTCAAAGCAATGCTTGCATTGCTTGTAATGTATGTCCACGTCAGTCTACATGACTTTTGTGACATAACCTCGAAATTTCAATCTGGTACTCAGTCTTTCAAATGAATACGTTTGCATACATGTCAATTTTTGTATACATTCCTTAACGTAAACAAGGTATTTAGAAAATTTTGTTTAAACGACATTGTTCTTATAGCCTAAACTACAATAAAACACTTAGAAGAATAACACAAATCTATTATTTATTTAATATAGGTATTATAAATTTGAAATTACATATGTTTGCATATTTCTTGTAGAGTAATTCAAAATGAATTGGACTTTGTGGATATTTGTACTTGGATCTTTTAGTTGTAAATATATACATGCTCAAGTACAAAGAGTTCCACCTGGTGTATCACCCCAACATTATCAACAAGTAAGTATTTCCTTCCAAATGATCAACCATATGGTTGTTACTACATTAAAATTTCTTTGATCTGTTTACAATTATTATAGGGGAATATTAACAAACAGTTTTAATGATTGTTTCATTCATGAATTAATATATATTTATTTTATTTCAGCCTGCTCAACAAGTACATCAAGTACCACAACAAGTTCCACAACAACAGGTAGATTCCTAGTGTTCAAAGAGATTCATTATATTTGTGCTTGTTGTTCATAATGTCATTGCTAACATTCATGTTAAAACTTACACAGTTTCAGCAAGTACCAGGACAAGTACCTGTGCATCAAGTTCCAGTTCAACAGGTACCTATGCAACAACAATACATGCAACCTCATCAAGTACCAGTACAACCAGGACATGAACATACACAACCCATACTCAATGCTGCCAATATAGTTCATGAAAAGGCGTATGTTCAATAAATTTAAATGCATTAATGTTAGATGTTTAAAAATTTTAATTATTTTTAAACTTTCTTTTTCTATATAGACATATTGCAGAACATATGGAAGTTCCAATAGATACTAGTAAAATGACAGAACAAGAATTACAATTTCATTATTTCAAGATGCATGATGCAGACAATAACAATAAGTTAGATGGTTGTGAACTTATTAAATCCTTGATTCATTGGCATGGTATGTATTAACTAATCTCCTGTAAGTACTTTTGAAAGGCATGTATATAACTACTTTCTTACATTCAGAACAAGGTAACAAAGAAGCAGGTGAATCTAATCCTGTAGAGAAACTATTCAAAGACGAAGAGTTGGTTACTTTAATAGATCCAATACTTTCTATGGATGATACTAATAACGATGGGTATATCGATTATCCCGAATTTATACAAGCACAGCAAAATGCAGCATCTACTGGCAGACAGTAGTTACATAAAATAAACAATATTTTTATTTCATTTTAAACAAGCATGTAGTTTCATTTATAAACATTTTGCGTTTTTCGATTTGTTATTATTACAATATCAGTAATGATATAGGCCACTACTTTAAATTGAATTGCAATTATTTTTTTTTATTTAATTTTCAAATAAAATTTTTTTAAAACCATTGTTTAAATAATTATGTATAGTTTTTTTGTTTAATTTGTTATTTAACATCCTTAACTTTTACACTTTATATGTAATATTAATATTTATAAATAATGTAAAAAATTTTCATATATATTTTTTTGGAAATAGATTTATTAATAGCAACATCTTTTTATATCTTAAGTACCTTGTTAATGGTTACATAAAATTAATTTTTGGAAACAATGCTATATTCAGCATAAAAGTGCTTGCGCATATAATAACATACCTGTAATAATAACGAATTTTATATGTATAATTATTCTGGATAATATAGATCAGTCAGATTCATGTATATACATCATATGTATTCATCATCTAAAAACACATATTCGCATAAACTGAGCATTGTTTCTCATATAGCCATTCTTCATAAATTAGAGCATATTGGAAAATACTTCCTATTTAACTTTTGATACGATCGAAGTACAAAGACAACAATTTTAACAATTTTATAACTAGTTATTATAATTTTGGAACAATTCTATTATCAAGAATTACATAAACCTATATGTATTATATGGTTGTAAAAATGATATATAAATATAGTTTTGTTACAAATTGGTAGCTTTTTTGCCTTAAACCAATTTATAATCGTATTCATACTTTCTCACATACAATTCAAAACTTTATTCATCAAAAATGCACTTTAAATTATACTGCTTAAGAACGTATACTTTTGTATTTCTTCCGGTATTGTCCATACTTTATAAGAATAACGATATAAATTAAAATATAATTCCATAAACATGAATTTATTTAAAAAATTTTTTGAATATTTATAGATATATAAATATACTGATATACATAAGTTCAATACAATTATGCTTACATAAAATTTATCAATACGTTCGAAAACATACATTTTCGTTTTATATTGAATACAAAATTATTTAAGTGGAACATTTTTTATTATTTAAAATAGTATGAAAATATTACAAGATCTTTTTGGATTAAAGGAGTTCGTACTTACTTAAAGATACATTCCGTTTACTAAATAATCGGCGTCATGAGCATATGATCCATGCCGTCTTCTACGTCTTCGAACTACCCGTAAACGACAAGCTATTAACGTAGCTGTAATAGCTGTTATTGTAAGTCCTAAAGCTAACGATATAACAGCTCCTCTAGGTTTCAGAACCTCGATGTCGTTGAGTTGTTTTAGAAAATCCGCTGTAATAGTATTCCTACCATGCTCTGTGCTGTGATCTTTGATAACTATTACGCTTTTATGTTCTACGTAAAAGTAATGTATAAGTAACAATTGCAGAAAACATTTAAAAGACAATATTATTCACCGATGTACCTTTTGGCTCTTTCCCTTTTGCATGATTCAATGTTGGTGTTTCATGTTTTACTGCATGTGATTTGTCATTTTTCTGCTTCATTTCTTTTTCGTGAACAGCATGCTTCTCTTCTTGCTGATGAACTTTTACAATTTCTTTATCTTTTGGTATGTACTTTTGTTCATTTGGTATCTAAAATAATACAGCGTCAGCGTTTACGAGAATAAGAGCCTATAAGGTAAAACTTACATCACAAGGAGGTGCTATTGTACTAGCAACAGTATTTTCTACTTCATCAACTTGTTTTTGTTGCAAATTCGATATTGGAGAAGGAGACGGAAAAATTTGGGTATTTTGCCATGAAGCTCTATTCGGTGATCCATAATGTGAAATGTATGGATGTCTTTCCTCTAAATATGCACCACTGATATTCATGAAATTTCAAAGTAAATATAATCCCGTTACACAATTTTTTACATTCAAGAATCTTACCTATCTGTCTCTTTCTCACCCATAACGTTTGGCCCTTTATGGTTAAAACTATGTGGTTGATCTAAAAACAAGAAATTTCATAGATCATTATATGATTAAAAATACATAGTTATTTATAAACATATTACATACGTTCATAACGATTCAAGTTGCTCTGTTCATGAAAAGGGATAACAGGACTATATACATCCTTAGCTTGATCATAAACTGGTTGCAAATTCAACTGATATCTTGGAGTACCAAAGTCTTTGTGAACTGGATATACTTCCATTGGTTGCCCTGGATATGAAATAGGTCGTGGAATCATTTGATGATCTGAATTAGGTAACATCCATGAATTAACTTCTTGATGAGCGTATTGTGGAACTGGAAATTTATTTTGCTCAACCATTTGTTGATATTTTATGTTGTCAATAGGTAAAAGTGGTGGAGGTGGTTGTGCTCCTTGAATAACCGGAGGAAGAGTCGGTCTCTCTGTAGGACAATGATCTTCATCGGATTCGTCCGCGCATTGTGGAATGCCATCACATACATTATACTCTGCTATGCAATCTCCAGAAGAACGACATTCATATTGATAACGGCTGCAACCTAATGCAATCACATGTTAATGTTGCTTCAATGTGTTTCAGGATCTTTTATATCTATAAATAAATACCTTGCTTGACTGGTGGGGCTGTTGTTAATGGTTTTGGTGCTAAGGTTGCAACTAACTTTGTAGAAGGTTCTGTGAATGAATATTGTGCTGGTGCTGTGTCTGCCAAATTCCTATTTTATGATAAACATTTTATTAAACAATGAAAAATATTATGTAATGCATGCTTACCTAAGGGACTTCAGTTCATGCTCTTGTTGAGAAATTCTAATTCCTTCTTCATTGCTTTGAGTATTGTAATTAATGCGTATTGAACTACTATAATTCGCATGATTAGTGAATTTACATTTAAAATCGTCTAACGGCCCGCATTGGAAGAGATAACAACTTCCAGGTTTCTGAAGATAATTAAGGAATTAATAGAATACATCATCAAATGTAAATATAGTATGTAAATGAAGAAATTTCTTAATAAAGCTAATTACAAACTTATGAAAATAGGTGTACCTTTTCTTCAAAAATAAACACGTCACAATCCTTTGTATCACAACAAAATTGTAAGCACTCGTTTCTGGAATTAACATCAATTTCCTTCAAGTAGGTGGCACCCATACTCCGAGACTCCTGTGTTTGAATAATTTTATTTTCCTGGGTCTTAAAACTATTGAAACACATCTGATAGCCGTTTCTGAATGTCGTTCGTTTCTCATTTTTGTTTAATAAAATTTCACCAGTCACAAAATTCAGGATTACAAAAAGATTAACAAAAATACGCAGAACTTTGTGGGGCAACATTCTCTTACAGAGACGTCTGCGACTCTAAGCAAAACGCGCATGTTTTCCGAGTTTCCACATTTAATCAATAACTTCAAGTGTTATGTGACTAACACAACTATGTAATGTATATGTAATTACACAATGCTAAAAGAGAATTTTATTGTGCAACGAATAATTTAATATAAGTTAAACTCTGCGCAAACTTTATTTTTATACATTTTTTACATTATTGTTAATTGTGGAAATGATGTCGCTGACTCTATCTATCTAGCGGCAAACTACAGTAAAATCGTTGTTATCAAACATTATAAAATCGATAATAATTTTGTTAATTTAATTGAACTAAATACATTTAAATGTCATTGAGTCATCAATTCTAGACATAGGTCAGGACATTGCTGAAAGAAGGAATGTGTAGAAAAATGAATACATGTATAAGTGTTCATTTTCAATATTTATTGTTTCTTTAATACGTCAACTAGAATTTTGCATACACTTCTGTAGCCTAAGTACAATAACAGAAAATAATCTATTGATTCGTACAATTCTTATCTCTATCAATAAAATTTCTTATACTAATTTATGGAATGGTTCTGGTGCTTAGACTTGTAACATTTTTGTAATATTCTCAGCTATCAAATGATCTATAAATGAATAACTCAGATATAAATTTTGATCAGATGATAAATTGAAATAATTATTGCTAATCGTAGTTTAAATTATTTGAAGTTGTATACGAGTTTCTTCTAAGAATTAATTTATAAGAAATATTAAAATTAAAAAATGCTACAGATCTAAAGCACGCTTGTATCTTATTATAACGTATGTCACACAATTGTTCTATATTAATCACACACTGTGTATAAAACTAGCAGAACTATATGTATATATAAATCGTCTATTTGATTTAGAATTGCACATCTAACAACCGTTTCAATAATTCATATTTTCCGCGGAATGATTAGTTGTAAATGTTGTAAAAATATAATTGCACTTATTTTGTTTTATATAGATCTGCACCTTTTAAATGATGCTACCATATCATTTGTATTTAATGTGCATTATAATGTTTAAATGTATATATAAAAAAAAAATAAATTAACATTTGATAGGCAGATGGGCAATACAAAATTTTATACCGCGAGCATTGACAATAAAACTTGACTAACGATGCTCTGCACATAAAATTTTGTAATTATTTATATTGCAAAGATAGCAAAATATGTCTCAGATGCACCCATCTTAATTAATTCGAATTGTAAATTGATTCTTAATTTGAATAAATCAATATGCATAAAACTGTAACTAGAAATGTTTAGATCAGTGCAATCTTATATTAGTTAATATTAATGGAAGTCAACAATTGAATTTAAAAAAAAGACAATAATTGTATAAATCAAAAATCAACTAAGTATAATTTAATTTTTCAAGAATATCCTGGTCTAATTTGTACAATAAATGGGTTCAATTTGAATGAAAGAATTCAAATATAATATTGAATGATAAAATACTATATATAATTGATTTATATGGATACTGTATACCCATAACTCACATATTTCCCGAAATGTTTTTTCTTAGACTTTTGTGAAGCACAGCACACATGTTACCAAACAGATACAATTTTTCATCACATAATTATCAGTATTTATAAAAAAGATTTCAAATTTCTGTTTCTTTACACAATGTACACGTGATGTATCCCCTCACATTATGTTACAATGTGCATAAGTGTCATTATGCATATTTGAACTTCAGATGCGTATAAATTCCTTAAAATTTAGGCACATAGAACACACAATGATATCATAAAATATGTGCATAACAAAGCTTCAATTATGAGAATACTCGTTTAATGTACACAATATCATTAGCTTGTATAAATAAGAAACTTTAAAGAATCCACTTTTTGAAGCAGTTTCTTTGCTAAAATTACAGTGAATGATACATTTTTAATTATGTATTTTCATAACTGTAGCAAGTGTTATGCATATACTATACAAGAACATTAGAAATTTCTATTCAATCTTATATGATGTATGTATGTATAACACGATACGACAAATACTGTTTAGGTGTATTTTAAGGCACTCGTGCGAATAAAATATGAAACAGTTAAAAGAAACTTATGAAACAAAACATTAAGTGGAATAACAATCGATAGACTTATATATATTATATATTTTTTCTTATTTCAACATAAAACTAACATTTTTCTGTAAAGTGACTTTCACTGTCTTTTTATTCTTTGGAATGTAAACCAGGAAAGAGGAATTATAAAGCGATTGTCAATATAGTCTGTTAACCCTGTATTAGTATAACACCTGTTTTTTAGCCTCTTAAAAAGGAATATATATGTATTCCATTTTTTTCTATAGCCAGGAACTCATTCTTTAAGGACTTTTCCCACCCCCAGTGCACATATATCAATATAATATAATAATAAGAAAACATTTATAACATTTAAAACAATTAAAAACTTTAATATTGTATGAACAATAACTCATTAGGCATATTTAAATAGATTGAATCAAACATAAACATATAACAGGGGAGTGAACAGATATCACTATACAATTTATAAATTTTTGCATGAGCTGTGAGATGCTATTTCATATATGAACTATCATCGTAAAACAAATTGAAAGTGATACTAGTAAAAAAATATGTACGACGTTCTTTGTAAAATTGATTACAAAACTTGTTTACAAATTGATCAAAAGTAAATGTTTGTTAAAAATAAATATAAAATTATTATTTGTTAATTAGTAACATGTTTAATACTTTTTTTATTAAATATAGAATTTTATTATATTTTGTATACTTGCATCACTTTCAAAATCTTAACATCTCATAGTTCATTTCCTTTATCTTGTAACATATAGAATAGATATTTCTTATTTTGACTACCCCTGTTTAAAATATGTAACTTTATACAAATGTAACTTCATATACTTGTAGGTCTGTTTAACATTGCAAGAGTACATATTTTTTTTAAAACAAGAATAATAAATATACATATGTATTTAGATATTTATATGTATATATGTGTATATTTATACATTGTATATATAAGTCTTTTCACGATATAAATAAAAATTTGTAACGAGCACATTAACTTACTCTATTACTTATCTTTTCATTTGTACAAATAAAAGACTGTGTAGTCCTCGAAAACTATAAATAATATAACATGTACGTTTTTTTTTTGCTAAAATCTTTGGCTAAATATACAACTACTTAAAATATTTTTTTTCTATTTTCAAGTAACTTTTAACAATTAACATCACTCTGACGTTAATTCTTCTTTTATCATAATAATTGTACAACGGTAATATCATTACCAACATAATGAACATGTACGATTCGATTGAGATTAAAAGTGTTACTCCTTTTTACGTTTATTATTATAGTACTTGTTTAAAGGTACTCACATCATTTGTTCCAGTATAGGTGATCACAGGAAATGCATATATGCAATCAAAATAATTTGTTACAACTCGTTATTATCATTCTTTTGTTTTAAAATCTTGTTGTGTATATTCTACACACTTTGCGATATCCTAAAAAATATAATCGTTAAAATACCATTTATATTTAATGACTAAATGATCAGTATCTGGACTACGATAAACGATTCTAAAATGTTTAGATAGCGTACCTGAACAGCGATTTGTAATGGCGTTAATTCTCCAATAGAACAATCATTCCGAATGACGTTTGCTGGTAAGAGTCGTGGACAAGGTTTACCAGTGAATAGAATGAAAAGTGCGTGAATACTTTTACGTTGTGTCAGTTCCATGTAACGGTGTTGATATCCGGCTAAGTGTCTTCGGTGTCGTGATGTTGTGGGAAACCATCTCTCGCATAAGTTACAATACCTTTTATGTTTTATTGTTGCCTGCAGCATGAAAGTTTTTATTAGACAAAGAAACAAATTTTTATCAACAGAAGAAACAAGTTTCTCTACCTTTTCATGATAAGCTAGTTGCGTTATAATATCAGCAATGGTCATTTCACAATCCTTGTAAGAATCTTTACCCTCTGCTATTTTCTCGATAGGAGCTATCACTTTGTTTTCTATACTCTTTTCACCCGTTGTCGCATTATTAACCTCTTCTTGATTCGTTATTACTGGAGGGGACCTGGAACTATCTCTATCTGAACTGGAATCAAAGTTCAAGGCAAACTCTGGTATTAATAATGGCATATTGTCTTCCTTCGTCTTCGAATCGTTTGAACCCTCCTCTTTTTGACTCTGAGTGCTGTTCGCTTCCTTCTTAGATTTCTCTCCGTGAAATTCTTTTCCATCTTTGAGCTTATCAGTTAATTCCGTAATATCAGTTTCTATCGCAGATACTTCATTCGTTGAATCCTTATCCGATTTCTTAGAAGTCTTCAAAGAAATTGTAGTTGACTCAGGTACATTAGTGCGTCCACACGTAGAAGCTGTAGGACATTCTACAGTGTAAATCATTTCATTCTGTGAATCCTTTGAGATCTCTTTTCCCACAGAGAGATGCTTATTCTGCTTCAAGTATCTTTCTTCAGCTTCTTCAGCGTCTCGACGAGGAGATTTGTGTTCTTTCTTTTCCAAATTCTTAGATTTCCTATGTACCTTTGCATCATCGCCATCATTGCAACCTGCGCATTCAGATTCACATGACTCTTCAAAACCCTTAAAATTAAAACTTGAACCTTGCTTCTTCTCTGCCATAGTTTTAGGCCTTGACGTCCAGCTTTCCAGATCTTTGTTCTCAGGTCGAGTTAGACATTTCTTCAGAGCCTCTTTGGCAGCTAGCACTTCTTTGACTAACAAATCGGTGCAGTAAAAGTAATCATTTGATGTATTCCTCGAACTCTGTCCATTCTGTTCAAACATGTACTTATTCTGACTGAAAGTATCATCCGAAGAACGTTGGAACTCGCTGAAGTAAGTTTCCCTCGACTTCTCGTTTGGGTACTCATTTTTGGAATGTGAAGCATGATCGTTGTCTAACATAAACATACCGGAATGTTGCATTTTATTATCAATGAGCTCTAATTCAAGTTCCAGTTGAGTTGGTATAGCATCCTCCATGTGCAATTTATTAATCCTCTCGAATTCACAATTTTTTTCTGTTTCACCGTCACAGCTATCCGGCGATGCTGGCAAAATTTCTATGGTGGTTTGACTATCATCTGAAGACTCAACTTTAATAATGGAATTATCATTATTGTCGTAGCTGTGCAACCGTGTAATATCAGATTCTAGAAACTTGTTTTCTACGGAAGGTGAGCTTTCCTCAGTCATAAAACACGAATTGTATTCGCCTTTTGTAATCATCAGATCATTATATTCATTTATAAGAAAATTTCTAAAGTTCCTTTCCGTGCTCCTTGACGTTTCATCTGACTCATTCTGATTATTTAGATCAGTATTCACTGATTTACTCTGAGAAGACAATCTTTTTCTATTTTTTTTCTTTGCAGTTTCATCGTTGACTAATGTAGAACCAGCTACCCTATCATTGGAACTTCTTGAATTGCTACTGAACTCACTAATTGATTTGGTATCCTTTAAGTAACCAGAATCTGACAATCTCCTCTGTTTACACTTTACAAGAGATAAACTGGATACTGAATTAGACCTAGATAATTTAACTTTACTATTCTGATTTAAATTCTTGTCAGCAACACTGGTACTGCTATCTGTAACAAGAGTTGGCGTGTTGAATATATTCTTTAATGTAATTTTTGATTGCTTCAAATCCTTCACGATATGATCCAAAAGTTCTAGTCTCTGTAGCTTCACCTTTGGTTGCCACTTTGAGGTTTCAGCAACCGACGCCTTTTTACTTTTGCTAATTTCACATTTAAACTCTGTCCCTATTTGCGTTCTTTTTATAATAACTTTGGGAACTTTCTCAATAATGTATTGTGGAAACTTTTTTCTAAGCTCATCGTCAGCTGCGATGTTGTCCTGCTTCACCGAATGCTTTGCATCTTCTTCCTTCGTTTTCCTGCTTTTCTTTGGGATCACTTTGGAATCTTTTTCTCTTACTTGCTCCGCAGATTTGTCTTCGTCTTGTCTCTTCAGTCTCAGCTTTGGTATCTTTTCTGATTCTGCATCGCTAACCATTGATGCCTGGTGACTCTCGTTTTCAGAATCAGTAGCGTCCGACTCAGAGGTATCCTGTGTTTCATATTTTGAAACATGCTTGACATCTTGATTTTTAAGTTTCTTGATCTTCATTTTTGGAACACTCTTCAAAGCCTTCCGCTTCAAGTACAGCTTCAAATCTTTTGAAGATATATCTTCCAACTTTATCTTCACTTTTGGTACCTTGTTTTTATAGTTGTACTTTAAGGTGTACTGTTCCGAGTCGCTGTTATCTACGTTTACGTTTACATCGTTGTCCTCTGAAGAATGTTGCGGTGTTCTTTCAGATTTTGCTTTTTCTAAGAGCTCTACAGTGGGAGTTGCTGAACGAGATCTACTCTTCACAATTATCATTTTTGGAATCTTGGGTCGTGTTTCGGGAAGCAGCTTTGCATCGTACATGTCCGAACAATTATCAGTTTCAGTACAGTTTGACAAAGACTCGGGCTTTGTATTTAAAGCATCCTTCTTGATGATGAGCTTTGGTATTGCTTTTACATCCGTATTGCTTTCTGGGGAATGACTGCAGTTACCATATGGATCAAAAGACAGAGGATCTTGCTTTTCAGTGTCATATTCCGTTCTGTCTATATCGTCAGGATGTTCAACCGGAGAATCATCGATAGTGCAATACTCGTTCAGAACAGGCATCTCTTTTTCTACCGAAGAACTTCTAGTCGAATTGTGTTCAGACATACTCTGCATTTCGCTACAGTGGTCATGCAGATGATCCATCATTTCCTGTTCTTCCACTGATGTGTCTTCTATACTTGATAAAGCCATTTCCATTTCCTCCGCATTAGATGCTTCTAAACTTTCAATGGCATTATCATTTTCATTATAAATAGTATCTTTGGAAAAATCTAATAAATTTGGTTCTTCTTCGTTCTGTCCCATCTGAACAGAAGCAATGACTATATCTTTTTGATTTTCAACAGTTTCAAGCATACCAAAATCTAGATTATTTTGTTGATCAATTGCTGCGTCCATCTGCACTAATTGAGATTCAGAGTTCTCTTGCTCTTCTGACATCTCGTTTACAGCCTCTTTTGGAGAATTACCACCGTTTTCATATACTAATGACTCAACATTCTTTTCAATTTCTTCGCTCATACATTCTTCAGGTTCTTGCTCTTTAGACAAAAGGACTATTTCTTCCGTGAGTTGAATATTCTCTTCTGCACAATCTAAAATATTTTCTTCTGATATTATTGGTGATTCTTCGTCCACTTTATTGTTAACATTCTCAGATGATTCTTCAGCCATTTTATCAGAGGTGCTTATATATTTTTCAGATTCCAGAAATTCTTCCGAGATCTGCGCAGTTATATTACTAGAGTCTACACGAGACTCTGAACTCTCTGTTGTTGGACAATCTGCCACGTTTATTTCAAATTCTGCTGACTCAGTCTGATGACTTTGCAAATCTTCGGAAGCATCAACTTGTTTTATATTCTCTGTATTATCTACAGAAGGCTGATCATCCACCACTTTTGAACCATCACTTTCCTCTTCTTGTTTATCGAGCTGTGTTGTTTCTGAAAGACAAATTTCGCTGTTCTTGTCTTCTCCAACGTTACTCGATGCATTCTGCTCGTCCTCGTTCATTGATGAAGGAGCTTCATTGAGCAACTCCAAAGCTGAAGATCCATCTGCAGTATTTACAGTTTCTTCTTCATTAGCAGGAACAGTTGAATCTTTGGATTCATCAACAGGCAGTTCAGTACATTCATCACCTAAATTCTTACTTTCATTTACTTCAAGCTTCTCTGGAGTTAATTCACATAATTCCTCCAATGCTGAACATTCATTTAGATTAGAGTTAGCCTCTTCTTTACCCTGATTTGTTGTTGGCAACGTAGCATCTGTTTGCATAAGAGTAAGATTATCATTTACAATATTATCATTATCTTGACAACTTTCATTACCTGTACCACCATCGAGCGACTGCACCCGAACAGACTGTGATTCTTCTAAGCACGTATTTTTATCTTTACTTAAGCATACATCAGACATATCATCCTCCTTGTTTCTACAGTCCCCATCCAACTCGTCAACGGTAACATGGTTTTTAGGTGATTTGGAGGATACAAGTTTGGTTTCGTGACTCTTTTTAGAACTACTTTCAGCAATGCGACGTTTGATCTCCTCATCCGAGTCGCTGCTACTGTCCATTTTATACTGATCTATCCAGACAGCATTATTATTTTTAATGCTATGCACATAATCCTTGTACCTCGTGTTACTTTTTCCATAAAACTCATCCGAATAATTCCTCTTCCTGTCGTACAGATACTTGGTGCTCTTGAATTCGTATTTCTTTTTCTCGCTGAAAGGATGATGCCGCTTTCTCTTATACAGTTTGCGAAATTTCGAGTTATAATAATTGTTCCAGGTGTCCGCATAATGAGACTTCTTCGCAGAAACACAAGTTTCTCGTTTACGAGCCTCCATCATCAGCTCGTGGTAGGTAAATCTTCGATTAGGGCTGTAGGATATCTTGCCGTCTTTGGTAGTGTATACAGGAACTGTGTGCAAGTCCTCCAGCTTATCTATACTCGAGAAAATAGGATTCACGTAGCCGCTACTACTTTGAAACACATCGCAGTCTTCAAAAATCTGATCGATCTTTGGCTTCTTCCATTTGCCCGGGTAATCGTCGTCCAGCTCGCGTTCGAAGTTCACGTTAGAGTACTTTTTGTAGTCGAAATTAAAATCTAAAGAGTTCAGGGAACTCAGCGATCTGGCTTCGAGACCACTATCTAGTAGTTTCTTCGTGTTTTTCGGCTGATGAGCCGCTTCCTTTTCCTCGTGTCTCTTGAACACTTCCATGGAAGTGTCCACGAAACTCGTGAAAGGTGCTTTTTGTACTTTCACTGTTTCCAAGTTCTTGCTATCCTCTCTGTCGCCTTCGCACTTACTCTTCGCCTTAATTTTATTATTTGCATCGACTATGGCAGTATTGGATATTGCACGCTTCAATTTATCGTCGACGGGATAAATACCCACTGAGTCCGCCTTCAACATTTCTTTGCAACATGCATCGCTACGCGTCGAAGTTAGAACACAAGTGTCTTCGTTAGTTCCCATCGAAGCTCTCCTACGTTTTTTGAAAGAATTCGCATTCGTGTCCACAGTAGTTACCTCAACAGCGTCCACGGGCTTGTCGGTTACTCTGTGAACTTTGTCGGCCGTTCTCGAAGCGTCAACCGTTTCCTGTTCTTTGGCGTGTATTCGACATTGACAGTCTAATGCAGGTGACTCTTCAACTTCGTACAAACCTCTATCGTCGTACAACAACCTTTTCTGCTCCTGTCCCTTTGAGTTTTGATCCGTGCACGATACGTTTATCTGGATCTGGATTCCTTCTAGGGAATCTTTTATCTGCTCTGGACCCTTCTCCCCCAGAATCAGTTCTTTGCCCATGTCATTGTCTTTGATTTTTAAATTCACGTTCGCCACTTGAATCCCAAAGTCAGTGTTCTTGCAGAAGCTTTTCGAACACGCATGTCCCATTTCCTCTCGCGTATCCAGTTTCTTCGCAGTCGACTCGACCACCGACAAATTCTGCTCTGAACATGCTCCATGAAGTTCACTGGACTGTCGTATTTGGGGACATTCGAGTTTACTGCTTCTGGAACGAGACGAGTTCTCGTCGTTCTTCTGGGGCTCTTCTGAAGTTTTAAAGGAATGCTTGGACTTGTCCTGAACTTTTCTTCGCCTATACTCCTTCAACATGCGTATCTCCTCCGCGGTGTACCTAACGTCCCCGTCGACGGGTTTCAGATCTTTCTGCAACAATTCGGATTTTCTTGAACTTTGAACGCTTTCGTGAGTCCTGCCAGAAACGCGTTTCTTAATTTCCATCTCGTCTAAAAACTCTTTGGTATTGTTGCTCGTTCTCGTTTCCGGCGACTTATCGCCGGAAGTCCTGTCTAGGCCACGGCCCGACCGTTTATCGCTTAAAGTAACTTTATCCTTTATCACAGCAACGGAATAATGTTTGTATTGAGAAGTCATATGGCACACAGGGTGCTCCTCGCTTTGGGAGGAACTTGCTTCGTCGAATCTTCTCGCGTCGGAACCTTTTGATTGTCTCAAATGGTCTGTCGTGTCTTTTCTCTGAGATAAACTTCTCTCTGAATATTTATTCGCGCCTTTGTCTTCCAAGTCCATTTTCTCCTTCGCTCTTTTTCTGATATCAACTTCGGAGTTGGTACTGGTGGACACGCTCGAAGTCTTTATTTTTCTCCTTCTGATTTGCGTTTCGTCGTCAGATTCTGCTGGGCTCAAATTTGCATTGATACCTGTGGAAACAACATTCTGAACGATGTTATCCACCGAATCCGTCGATTTCCTGGCGCTTCTGTGTTTCACACAACCAGGAGACGCACGCTCTGAACTTTTCTCATGATCCACTGGCTCTTGTTCAACACCCAGTTCGTACTCGATGGACGTCAAAGCAGCACACGTGTCTGAAATCCTCGTATCAATCTCTCTACCATCTATCAAGAACACCTTCTTTTTTACTGTATTGATCCCTAAACTTTTTACCTGCTTACCTTTAGTTTCAGCTGATTTTACTTTGCAATCACTTGCAAAGTTGAAGTTACCAAGGGTTACTTCTTGATCGTTTGTTTTGTAACTGTTTTGTTTCTGAAATTCCAGCTCCAGCGTGCCAAGAGATCTGTTTTTTGATTTTTCCTCGTTGTTGAGTTGGGTGAAACTGATCACAGGACTGTTCTGCATCACCTCTATCGGGTTTGTCGAGATAGACAGGTCCTCCATGTTCTGTGAGGACTCTTCTGTGTCAGAATGAATAGGAGTGTTCAAGGTAGTAGAGATTGGCGTGCATTCTGATGTTGGTAAATCTGGTAAACTGATATCGTCTGGATTATGGGATTCCTCGCTCGCGAAGCTACTCTGCTTCTTCAAGTCCATGTTGTTAGTAACGTCCAGATTGTTTTTTGTTCTCAACTCTTGGCTGTTTATAGACACAGTACTCGTTCGAACGGGATCAGGATCCTCCATGTTGTCGTTTTTGGTTACATCGTTAAGAGATCCATCATAATTAGTTGATAATACGTCAGTCTCGTTCTTATCTTGCTGCTCAGCGTCTTCCAGAGTCATCGGTTCCGTTTCGTTGTTACTTGTTTCCTTGAAGAAAGATATCGTCTTCTGTTTTTCCAACGTTTGTATGACTTGTTCGCTACACGTGCCTAGAATGTTGCTTATTTCTAAATTATCAACTATATGTATCGTGGGTATTTCGTCAGGACCGTTGCTTATACAGTGTATAATGCTACCAGGTTTTACCACGCCTTCTCTGATCGTTCGTTTGGATGTCTTCGCAATTTCGGTGCTCTCAGACGGCGAGTAAGATATCGTTAAACAATCTTGAGTTGCTATCGCGTTTGTTTCACCTTCCTTGGCATTGTCCAAGTCAGTTTCGTTTGAGCAATAGCTAGTTCTTTTGGATACCTCAGCATCCTGCGGTGTTTTCGGCGATAGATCCACGTTTTCGTAACTTACCACGACAACTGGAGTTGTTTCACTCAAAGCAGTGTCTTGCAAATTCGATGTCGCCCCATCTTCATCGTCGGTTTCGTCCCAGTTGGCCAAAAACTGCCGGACATCGAGCTCTGGTTTATTGGCAAATTCTTTAGAAGCTTTCTGCTGTAACATCGCTGTTTCGTTATTCTTAACAGCGTTTAATGTATCAAAACTATGACTCTCACTCGTTTGTACTTTTAATTGGTTCTGATTAAAATCCTTGCGTATAGGAAACTGATTTTGCTTCTGAAACGTTTCCACGCAAGATGAAGGAATACGCTCGCTTTGTGGAGGGATTATTAACTGTTCTGCTTGCTGCACTTGCTGACGCTTTTCATTGGCAATGGCTATGGCTTGATCCTTAGACTGTTTTTCTATGCTTTCTGATGGTTGTTCTACCGCTGGCGCATGCTGCACTTTACTAAATCCATCAGCGATGTAGCTTGAATTTATCAACATACCATTCTGATCAAAGTGTAAATTAATCGGTGGTACCGAAGCGTTAACTGGTGTTGCAACGCGTGGGTTCTGTTGAACAGGATTTTGGTAACCAGTTGATTGTTGTAGTTTTAATATTTCCCTGTATCTCAGAACACATTCTTTATATTTTGGGTGAGACTGATAACCAGGTATGTTACTCAATTCCCTAAGGTGATTTTCCATCGCATATTTTTGCATCGCAATTTTATGTTGATACACTTGATGCTGAGAAGGAGTACTATGCATAAACGTGTTCGGTATTCTATTTACAACTGCAGTGCTGTCAGTAGTTTCTTGACATTCGTGATTCATTTCGGTTGTAATGTTTCGTGGAAATTGTGCATTCAAATAAGGATTTTGTGGGGACGACGCCATATTAGTGTTGACGTTTAATGTAGGCACTCCTTTAGGTAGCATATTTCCATTTTGATATTGAAACTGTTTATTGTTAAATTTCTGTTGAGTAATAAAGTTCTGTTCTTGGTGTTTAAGCATTCCTGAATTCGACATATTCATATTATTTGCCTTTGGATGCTCTTTCATAGGATAAGTATATTTCTGATGCTCTGTCGAATAGTTATAATTTTGTACATTATAATTATGAAACATTCCCGAAGACGCTGGATAATTCCTATGTGCTAAATGATCTTTATGATATTTGTAATCAGAATAGTTTCTTCTATGATCTATGGCAGGTGCATTAGGTAATACAGGTCCCATTACTTCTTTACCTTCTAAATTATCCTTTCTAAAATTGCAATTATTTCCAAAATGTCTGTTTTCCATTTGGCAACCAGACAAATGTACATTATCTCTAAAGGGTGCAGCATTTTGATAAGGTCCAAACTTTTCCCACTGTTGATAATTAATATTAGGATTAGAATTACAACAAACACCTTTACAAGGCATAAACGAAGAAGGTCCAGATTTTCCAGAAGATACTGAATTAATATTAGTGCTTCTTGGTCCCAAATTTCCAGACCCTGATCCTGATCCAGGTCCTGGTATAGGTCCATGCCTAGGACCGGGTCCGTACATAGAATTAGGGCCAGGACCATTCCCAGAATTGTTTCCAGAATTAGATCCTGGCCCAGAATTAGTTTGTGGTCCAAATCCTGAACCTGGTCCTGGTCCAGGTCCAGGTATAGGTCCAGATGATGCATTTAAATTACAACTTGGCCCACTTAGATGGCCAATAGGCCCATTAAAAGGCACCTGGTTAGTCCGATATCCTATTTCATCATTTATAGCCCCAACTGTAGCATTTCTAGGATCCACTGAAGTATTTATGTTATCCAACATAGGGTTCCTTGTATTCGTAGAACCATAGTGTCCAATACAGTTTTGCATTTGCACCATGGATGCAAGAGGACTATTGTTTGGAATGTTAGGACCATTTGAGACATTGTTGTAAGACTGGTAGTTTCTTGGATTAAAAGTGGCATCACTTTGATGCTTGTTAAGATTCTCTGAACCAAGACTGAGAGCATTCAAGGTAGAATGATTAACACCAGGAATGAATGCTAAGTGACCAGAATTCACATTTTGAGTAGAAGACGTAACTTCATTTGTTTGAGAAGCATTATATTGGTGCCAATCTGGCATATTTCCACCGTAGTTCATTGTACATTGTTTGACTACAAGTTTTCAATGTTTATCTGATTCCCTTTATTCACAAACGATCGTACTAAAGGCAGGAGCAGAATCTGCAAAAAAATATAAAAATTTTTATTGCAATACAATATCACTATAAAATTTATACCAATTAAAAGAAAGTATCAAACTGATAAATTCTCGGCTAAAAAAATTTTAATTCGAGATATCAGTTTAAATTATTAATTAGCTACGGGCATTCATATGTGTTGATTCAATATCGTTCATTTATCATTACTATAATTAAAATGAATGTATACAATTATACATATTAATTGATACATAAAAATACTTGTCACACATTGTTGCAAAATGGATATCATGTTTACTTAATATCGTGTTTGAAGATCAATAACAAATAATTTAACAGAAATAATATTTATATAAATCATCATTCCTCCTTGCAATTACACTCTAATTTTTAGAACTATAAAACATTCAACCCAGACCTGCATAACAGTTGCCAACAGCAAACTTTACTGTACAGTAAATATGTTCCTCTAAAATGTTTTTCTTCTTTTGTTCCATGGAAAGTTATTATTCCTTTTTGAATTATTCGGTCGAAAATATATATTCTTCACACGACACACCTGTCATCATAAATGCACCTCACTAAACAGACCTTGAAGGTGCAAAGGTTGACAAAGTTCACATATTTTAAGGGAAAACATGTATTAATATTTAATTTCACGTTTTGCGACAGAAGTTATAGGTTGACATGAAAAGTTACGATTACAAGATGTGTGGACTTTTGTTTTTCAATTTATCTGTCCAATATGGATCGGAAAAAATCGAACAAAGGCTTACCTGCACGTTAATGCAATTCTGAATATACACGCCATATTGGACACGACTACTACACAGATATCACGCGTCTTCTGGAACCAGGTAGCTTAGCTACGTTCCAATATAATCTGTATCGATCACGCTTTTTAAGTTTCCTATGAAGAAATTTAAATATCCAAAAGCGTTTTGATGTCACAAGAATGTTAATCGATGTAAAATTGCGTTTTGCACATGCGATATATAACTCATTCATAATGTATTTAAATGTCTGTGGCAATTATTTTTCATAAATTTGGAAAATTGGAACATTGGGATTTTGTAACTTTGGAACTTTAAAAGTTTAAAACTTTGAAGCTTTGAAGTTTATACATTTAGAATTTTGGAACTTTAGAACTTTGAGATTTGAAATCCAAAAACCCTATGACTCTAAAATTTTTTAATTTTATAACTTTGTATAAAAAAATAATGCATTGTAAAGAGAATGGGTCATGAAAAGTACTATTTTTAAAAATGGATCTCAACCTATGAATGTTTGGGAAGCCCTGCTGTAAAGTAATAGCAGAATCATAGTACTATATGGTCAATTACAGATAGTGCAAATGTATAAAATACTTTAAATTTGTTAATAAAATACGTTTTATTAAACAATTATTTAATAATATTCTTGATAATATCATTGATTGAATTCGAACGAAATAACAAATGAGAAATATTTTGCTCTTTTAAATTGCCTGCACTGCACCGGCTATACATGTGTATATTTTAGTACAATTCGTTCTGTATTACATACTCTTCTCCAGAGGTTTTGTTTTCTTTTGTAATACCTCGGGTGAAATTAAGAAAGAATATTGACATGCCGTTGCAAGTTCATGACGTTCAGGTAATTTTTTAAAGCAACAAGTTACGATTGTAAAAATAAATCAAATGTTTCATGTGGGTAAGCAGTATAAAGAATATAAAGACTGCTCATTTTCTGTCATGTTTCTCTAAACATTATTTGTTATGTCTATATTGAAGCTCTTATATTATTTTTATACTTTGTTATTGTCTATATTATTATAGATGTTGTATAATACTTTAGAGTGTATTCAGTTCCTCATATAGGCTATAATTTATATTTAATGATATTTTGTGCGTATAGCAAAATGTGGTGGAGCCTATGCAAGTTGATGCTCCTGCAGAAGATAATGACAATGCAGAAGAAGAACCATATATTGTTGAAAACCCAACTCTGGTATGTGCAAGCTCTTATAATTAATAACTGCTACTGTACGGGACTACTTAAACGTTTCAACATAAAATAATGCCTTTATATTACTTGCTTTATTTTTTGTTTAGGATTTGGAAGTATACGCTAATAGCTATACAGGTCTGGCCAAATTATATAGGCTTATATACATAGCTGATCATTGCCCAATGTTGAGGATAGAAGCATTAAAAATGGCTATATCTTATGTGATGACAACATATAATGTCTCACTCTATGTGATACTGCATAAGAAATTAGTGCAAGCTGTAGGAACACCTGGATTACCGGATGTCGCAGCACAATCAACATCCCAAGATATGTTAACCTTAGACCAAGCTTGGGTTGATTCTCACTCTAAAAAGGCTGCTTTAAAACTAGAAAAATTTGATACAGATCTTAAAAACTATAGAAGTAACTCAATTAAGGAAAGTATAAGAAGAGGTCACGATGACTTAGGAGATCATTATTTGGATTGTGGAGACCTTGTTCATGCCTTAAAATGTTATTCTAGAGCACGGGATTACTGTACAAGTGGTAAACATGTTGTTAATATGTGCCTGAATGTTATCAAAGTTTCTGTTTACTTACAAAATTGGACTCATGTATTAAGTTATGTAACAAAAGCTGAAAGTACACCAGATTTTTCTGATGTTCATGGTAAAGATAATAATCAGTTTATAGTTACAAAGTTAAAAGTTGCTGCTGGTCTAGCAGAATTAGCCACAAGAAAATATAAAATGGCAGCAAGACACTTTCTGCAAGCATCATTAGATCATTGTGATTGTCCTGAGTTGTTATCTCCTGGAAATGTTGCTTTGTATGGTGGACTTTGTGCTTTGGCAACGTTTGATAGACAGGAATTACAGAAACAAGTCATTTTTAATAGTTCTTTTAAATTATTCTTAGAATTAGAACCACAGTTGCGAGATATCATTTTCAAGTTTTATGAATCAAAATATGCATCTTGTTTAAAATTATTGGATGAAATCAAAGATAATATACTCTTGGACATGTATATAGCACCACATGTTAATGTACTGTACACAAAAATACGAAATCGGGCATTAATACAATATTTCAGTCCTTATTTAAGCGCTGATATGAAACGTATGGCAACTGCTTTCAATAGAACAGTTTCGGAATTAGAAGATGAACTTATGCAGTTAATTCTTGATGGCCAAATACAGGCTCGTATTGACTCTCATAATAAGGTAATTAGTTAACTACAAATTGATTTCTATACTACATCTACTGTTATCTTCTATGCTACATTACATAAATTTTCAGATCTTATATGCAAAAGATGTTGATCAACGTAGTACAACTTTTGAAAAATCTATGAGTGTTGGAAAAGAATATCAAAGACGTACGCGCATGTTAATTTTAAGAGCCGCTATGTTGAAGCAACAAATTCAAATTAAGGTAGTTCTCAAATTCAAATTAAATATATTTGAATTTTTGCGTTTTACATTTTATTTTTTTTATCAATATTACAGAGTCCACAACGTGACAGTACTCAAGCGGGAGAAATGTCGGTTACCTGGAAGCAATAGTTCAGTGGTAAGAAATTGAACTGTGACTTGTACTAACTTTTTGGTTAATAAGTGAGTTTATTTAGATCACTGTTATGGTCAGTAAAATATGAAAAAGTACTTCTGTACCATGTTGGAAATTTTATTAATATATTTAAGATGCTGATACTAAATTTGATCTTAATAAACATTACGTATCATGTATATATTACAATGTATTATAAGTAAAAGGTTAGTATTTTTTAAAACCGTGTGCTAACTACGCGTATAAATAAATCTTGATAATGCATTATGTACACTAGAAACTTTATTATCAATAAATATATCAACATTTTTTTCACGTATTAACGACATCTTTCATTTTAATATTATCCATTACATTTACTTGTCTAGTATCATTATCTTGTATATTACAATATTAACAATTAATATGTACTTATTTTTTTAATATTAATTATTATATTAAAAAGTAATCAGATAATTTTATAGATGAGATCAAAAGATGAGATGTTATGTTAAAAAAGGTACTTTTTCTTTAATTAAATTCTTCTCTATTATGGTCGCATTTATTGCACGTAAAATATATTTTATAAGTATATTATTCACAACATTGTACTATAAACAGTATATAACAGTGATTGTACATTGAAATATAACTATATATAGATTTAGTAATTGCGATGGAATGTTCAAGCTTTTATAAACATTTTGTACATATGTGATAGTCACACATTTTTATACATTTCGTTAAAATTTCGACACGATAAAAAATATATTATAAAAATTCGAACGTTGTAAGTCATAGAACGATATATCGATATATCGCAGAACGATTTTTTTTTATAGACAATCTGTTTTTGTTATTTTTGTACTAAAATATATATATATAATAGCACATTTCTCGCATTTCTGTGCAATATTTATAACATTTGTATTATGTAGAACAGCGATTATCTGAATTTAATACAGATATGAGAACATAACACTAATATCATTTGAATACTGAACAAAACGTACTTTCCTCTAATTATGTTTTAAAACAAATGTTCATATATGGCAACTGAATTTCAATATCTGTTGAAGTCAATTCAATTACATATTTCAATAGGAAATAAATATACATTTACAATCACAATTATTTTCTTCAATTGTTCAAGTAATCGATGTTCCATTAATAAAATACGTTATAAGATACTCATTTTCAATTAAGTATTTTGCAGTAATGTAAAAAAAATTGCGGTACGTTTTTATAAAAGTACCATGAAAGCATACAATTAGATATAAAAATTGTGCACATATTACATGCTTAACACTAATTAATAATAAATCTTTATAACAATATTGTGAAGATTCCTTTAGTAGTTTTCCTCCTGAGCCTGCAAAGATAAATTTATACATAACAAAAGTTGGTCAGTAATTATTACGTATGTAGTACGTTTTATTGCCTTTATTGACTCATCAATTCTCCCATAAAAATGGTACATGAATGTGTAATTATGTTTCTTTCAAATTATAAATTTACCACCATAGTAGCTTTCCTAGGATAACAACTTCAAAATCAAAATGTGATTTCAGCTTCGAAATATTTTAAATGAATACTAACAAATATATATAACATTATTTTTATAACATATACAACACTAAATTACTATGAATTTGGTAATAGCTTACAAAGACTCTTTATACATATTGCACATGTGACAATTCTAAGACTGGCCTGGAATCTAAGTATATCATACTTAGTCATGTTTAAATTATTCTATTCAATGTGCTATATCACCTCAAAGAAATATAAAAAATGCATAGAAAAAAAAATCCGAAAAAAATGTATACATATAATTATAAAATCTTTGTAATATGTACGAAATATGTTTTTAAGTATTACCATGATTTGAAATACATTGTGCGATGATTTGTGCGACATTAGTACTGTCTAAACTTACTGCAAATAAAATTTAGAAGGTGCATTAGAGGTGTTTCGGTTTGTATACCTTTAAAACAGTTGAAAGACCAAGAGTTACAAGAATCCCCAAACCAAATGCTAAAAGATGTGGGATATATTTAATCCCGGGGATGTCGGGTCGTTTTGCAGTCATCATTTCTAAGATGCTCAATTTTCTGTCGGAGTATGGTGGGTAACGACATCTGCAATATTCAAGTCAGCTTGCTGCATAAAACCTCAGTGGATTTGAGTATAATCAGTAAAATTTAACAAAAAATTGCTTACGACGCTATAGATTCTATTAGTCTGTTGTAATCTTTAATAAGACAACCTTTTTTGTGCACAAATGTGTCAAAAGTGTACTTTCCATGGTAAGCTCCCATTCCAGAATACCCAACTCCACCAAATGGTATGGTATCAACTAAAAAACCAATCTTCATGTGTTACCGTATAATATAATATGTACATAAAATAATACGCAAAACGTACACGGTCGAAAAGAAATAATATATTTTATCCATACCCACAAAGTACAAGCAGAATTATTACGATATTACAGAACTAGCATGGAAAACATGCAAGAAGCATATGATATTTTAAAATGTTAATGATTACGTTGAGCGATTGATAAAAGCTTATAATTTAATTTTTATCTAATGTTTCTTGTAAGTGTATTTAAGAGTGTTGAGTGTATTTACATATTTATATAGCGACTTACGTTAAATACCGACTTATATTAAGATAAAGGAAGAATAAAGAAAAATGTAAGAACGTATACCTTGTGCATGCATTATCACATCATTTACACAAACACCACCACTGCTCGTATTTTCAAGAAACAACGATATAGTTTTTTCATCATTGCTAAATAAGTACAACGCTAATGGCTTCTCCCTGTATAAAATATGTAATACCTTTTTTATTATTTAAATGATAAAATAACAAAATATTTTGAACTACTTATAACTTAATATCTGAAAGAAAATATGCTTAAAATATTTTCTTAATAAAATTCTTTTGTGTATGTAGAGAGTTGTATTTTTTGGATAATATTTTAGCATGTTATTAAACTAAACCATCACCATAATCCCAGTAAAAACCAACTATACAATCCTTTAATTAATATCAACACCAACGCAATTCGATAATGCAATAAAAAACCAATACCTTACTTCGTTTCCAGTTAAAAACTTTATTCAATGTAAAGATGTGAATAAAGTTGCATTCGCTATGTTAACTACTTAGTAAGAAAAAAATAATATTCACACAAGAGCATTTTGTTAAATGCTACACTATATGTACAAGAAAATCGATCAAACTACGATTGGAGACTATGAACTACAACACTACAGGAAAGCAATAATGCATTAATTCAAAGATATGAAAACAGGTATTTATTATTTGTATGGTTGCAAGGCATTTAGCAATCATCACTCAATTGTTCTGACTAACTCACCCACAAATTGCATTATCGTATCGTTGACTGCCACACTCCCGCTTTGAGTTTGGCTTATCATTAATTCTTGAACTCGTTTATCCTTGGTAAATATATAAAGTGTAAGTGGAGCATTGCTAAATGTAGGAAATGAAGTGCAATGTTATTTCATAGATAAATATATAGAACTGTACCATTGATACTTCAATATATAATTACAGTTGTTTTACGGTTGTTTTAGGTCACTTTACGATGTAGATAATCAACGAAATTGAATATAAATTTCATAGAAATTGGCAGAATCAAAAAGACAGTGTATACAATAGTATCCTGATTTGCACAATGTATGAATTATATGAAGGAGGTGCAAGTATTATAACAAATATATCATTCACAATTACAGATTTACAAAATTATAGTTTACAAAATTGATTTTTACGTGTAAAAAGATTGTGTTCATGTAGTAATTATAGTTACTATATTAATTACTTACCGGCTATTTATGAATTGAATAGCTTCATAAGCGTTATTTACTTTTATAAAAGGTAATATTGGACCAAATATTTCATCCTGCATTATAGGATCTGTGGGCTTAACATCAACAAGTATAGTTGGTGAGATATACTTTTCAACTGGATCACAGTTACCTCCAATCGCTATTTTACCGTTTCCACTTAAATATTTTACTAAACGTCTATAAAGAATATTATAAAATTTGAAACAATATACAATATTAAGGTATAATAAAAAATTTAGATAACTCTACTAACTGGTAATGATTATCATTAATTATACGGGCTAAGTCTGGACTCTCCTTAGGATTGTCACCATACCATTCCTTCAAAACCTTCTCTGCCTCCTGTACAAATTTTCCTTCAACTTCAGGGGTGCAAAGAACATAGTCTGGTGCAATACATGTCTGTCCAACATTAACAAATTTTCCCCAAAGTATCCTTTTTACAGCTATACTTAAATCTACCGTATTATCTAGATATACAGGGCTATAAATTGTCATGATTTATTCACAGTATATCAATTAGTACATCAAATTATAAAATTAATGAATGTGTACATTACCTTTTTCCACCAAGTTCCAATGTAACAGGTGTTAAATGTTTATTTGCTGCATCACGAATAATTTTTCCGACCGATGTTGAACCCGTATAAAAAATATAATCGAACTTTTGTTTAAGCAATTCTGTAGTTTCAGTAACATTTCCTAACACTACATGAACACATTCCTATCAAAATATAAAATAAATTATAACAAGAAATACTTTCAAACAAAATTTGTTTATGATATTTGTACATCACAAGCTTATTCACTTACAGAGTCTAAATATTTTGGAATAATTTTTGCAAGAACTTGTGACGTAGCTGAAGATATTTCTGATGGCTTAAGAATAACACAATTTCCAGCAGCAATTGCTCCCATTAAAGGAGTTACACATAATTGTAAAGGATAATTCCATGGTCCTATAACAAGAACTACACCATATGGATCCTTTCGAATTTCAACTTTATCGAATAAATTTAGCATTGCTTTTGAAGGCTGAAAAAATTAAAATGTGTAGATAACACGTGCAGATTATTATGTATGCTCTAGTGCAAGGTTAGGCTTTTTTTAAATGAGAATAAATGTAAAATAATTATAATTTTAAGTAAAGTTGGAATATACTTTTTCGTCAGCAGCCCATTCTTTAATATGCATAAGCATGTATTGGATTTCCCCTTCAGAAACTTCTATTTCCATAGCCATAGCTTCAAATTTACACTAAAATAAAAAATATGTAGTATAAATATCTTGATTAATATAAATGGTTAATAAAAGAAATATAATATTATACCCTATGCAAATCAGATGCAAGAGCAGATAGTATTTCTGATTTGCATTCCTTCAGCATCAACAGGGCCTGTTTTAACTGTTTTATTCTCCATTCTAATGGTCTTGTTTTACCAGTTAAAAAAGTGTTTCGTGTTCGTTCAACAAGCTGCAAACAAAAAAATGAATTTTAATACAAAACAATTATTTTTATTACTCTCCCTAATTATTTAGTTAGTTATTTTTTATTAAAAGTTAAAACTTACACTTGCATAGTCTGTTGCCATTTTTCCATTAGAGTGTGCTAAAATGAAAAGATATACAAATAAGAAAAAAAAAAGTATAGATTCCACCACATATAATAAAAGGATTTATCTTGTAGTTCATTGAATAAAACATATAGCTTTAAATACATTATACTTTGAATGTGCACTGTGATAATATATGGAATATATGTGAAAAGAAATTATAAATCTCCATAGGTTCAAATGATTACAGAAACACATTGAAATACAATATACCCTCCTTGAAGTTCAACAGGTTAAATATACATTTAAAATATACAACAATTTTGGATACATGATTCAATTTAAATCTTTATTCATAACATAAATTTAATTAACAATAATCTTTAATTATATACAGTTTTTATTGCTAACATAAAGTGATTATTGATGATTTATAATTATTATACACAATGAAGAGTAAAGTATTCAGCATAATTCATGTGTTTCTATGAATATTAAACGAGCAGTTTTATTGTAGATAAATCAAGCAATTAAAATTTTAATTTATTAACGTGAAATTGTTTCAATACAATTCAATTGTTTAATAAATATAAAGCTTCGGAAAAAATAATAATGTACAGCAGGTGCAAATTATCCATGTAGTAGCCTTAATTAGGTTTTAAATTGCTAACTTTAATACTTACTCAGCATCTGTGTCAAATGGTATGATGAATTGTAATTATTAAAAGATAATGTTAACGTCTATACGAGTAAGATTATTCATCGTTACCAACTTTAAATATGTGAAATGCGAAATACAAGGATTGAACCTTCAGATAATTTGCATTTTTTTTATTACGAAATTATGTAATTGAACAAATAGTGATTCAGTCAGTTGCCATTTCTGCTAAAATATTTTCTGATATTTTCACAGCAATTTATGATAAAATATGGAAATTTTCATAGAATTTCTGGGTGTAATTTTAAATTAGTTTACATTACATATATTTAATTATATTTAAAATAAGATATTGTTGTACTTTTACTTTTGAAATGCTAAATCTTATATTTTACATTTACATAAATGTGAGGAAATATAGTTATCAAGGTCATAGTACATGATAAATGGTAGTATAACAAAAATAAATAATTATTTAAGCATAATAATGAAATATAAGTACTGTGCATATTTCATATAATTAGTACTTGTCAGCCGACAAAAAGAGTAGATTAAAACATATATGTCTGAGCGTATATTTACTATTTATTGCTTTAACAACAAAATGTTAGACGAAATACATGTTAAATTTACAATAAAAGTATTTCAATAATGGAATGAAATTAAAAAAAATGCCGAAACAGTTGGTATCCCTTTCAATAAATTTTGTACGACTAGTCTTACGTACCGACACTTCTTATCTCGAAGAATGTTGGAAAAGAACTAAAAAATATGGTTATCACAAGCTGTCAGAAAGAAAGAGATTGCATACGTATATATATATATATATATATATGTACACAGTCTGTCGATTGTCGTGTATAGCATAAAGAAAATGGATATGTAGTGGGAGTGGGTCTCCCACTGATTTTTTGAGCGGTAAAATTTCAAATACAAAAATTTAGAAATTTGGGACTTGGAAATACGAAGCTAAAAGAGCATAGGGGATGTTCAGATTTGAAAATCTGGGAAATTCCGATAACTATCAAAGTTTACATATTAAATTTTCCAAAATTGAAAATAAATGGTAGAAGTACTTGATTATAATAGAATAATTTTGATCGGTAAACTAGAGTAGTTCCGAGTTTCGCCACAGATGTCAGCACCGCCCTGATCTCGAGTAGAGTCGACGAGTTCTACGTTAGCGAGTGACAGTAAAGGACGTGTAGTGTTAGTTGTGCGCTTTTAATTGTGATTTTGTGTATAATTTCATCACGTACGAATGCCAGGTAACTAGAATTTTATGAAATAACATATAATAAACGTAATTTGAATTGATAAAATCATATTTCTCTCGCGATATAACTTTAATTGATGTAAACTATATTACCGAGCAAACTGTCAAGGATTTGTGATGTCTGTTTTCAGATTGCTGGGAAGATACCAATCAACTGCAATTTTCAACTACAATTTTCACCGACTGGACATCAGAAAACGTGAGTAACAATGAAAAAAGTATTATTTAACTTGCAAATAATAAAATATTGAAGAATCATAGTATTACTTGCACGAGTTGTCAAGTCCGCTTTCCCGCCTTTTTTGCGCGGGAAACGTCAAATTCTCGATGATCTCAAAACATTGAATATTTTGAAATCTAATGAATAAATTATTTTAATCGATAATTATTTGAAAGCAATGAGCCATATACAGTGATTCTTCACATAATTTATTATTTTCATAATCTTTGCATGATTAAATAAATTTGCAAGTGCTTTTGCCACATCCAATATGGCGGAAAATTTCCCGCCAAAATATTGCGTTTAGTCGCAATAGAGTAATAATGTTTTCAAGCAAAAAATGTGCGACATACAAATAAATGTAAATATATTTCACTTTCAAGCAGTGAAATTTAATTCATAAAATTCGTACCATTGTCGTATATTACGTGTGTTGGTTCCACATTAATTTTTACGTGATTCATTTTCAATGTTGTCACTAATCTTGTATAATGTTAGTTATACCTATAAATGCAATACAACTTTACAAAGTAGTCTATATTTTTATGTCCTTTTGAAAACGATTTCACACGAAGTTAAACAGTAACATTAAAATATTATTACTCAATTAAACTTTTATCACCTTTAATAAGCACTTTGCTTCAAAGTGCCTAGTTTTTCTACCACATCCACACACAAACACAGAAACATATAAGCATAAATTTAATTTAGTACCTCGTGTTGTATAATATTCAATTTTCTTTATCACTAAATAATTAAATAGCAACTTGTCAAGTTTGTCCTATCGAAGTTCGCGATTTCGCGCGCAAACGAGTTCTCCCGCGAACGCGATCGCGACCGCCGCTTTTTATAGATTCGCTTGCATTTGCTATAGCTATTTCTTACGCTTGCGAGATGTTGAAAATCGAGTCATAACAATTTCCTACTTCGATTAAGTACAACGTATTCGAACTTGTAACTAAACATTATCAAAGAGAACTTCGTTTATATTTCGAATGTTATATTTTGTGTGCAAAACTTTTATCGAGGTTGCAGCAGGCCCCAGTTATATTCGACTGGAGAAAGTTTCGATATCGAATGAAACAATATTAAAACCTGTTTGTATAAATAACATACAATATAACTATAATAATTTGTATAATTAATTAGGTCAAAACTCACCCGATTCAGGGGTGTTTAATCCTTCTTGAATGTCGATTCGAACTTCTTCTATGATCGGTATATTTTGTTCCGTCTCGGAAGTCCACTCCTGGTCGTTTTCTGGCATATCAATTGTTACCTCCTCCTGTCAAACATTTACCAAGAAAATTAACATTCCCGTACTGAAACCTGTTGTAACATAGCCCGATTAATTACACTCGCAGAAAAACATAATCATGAATATGGATTCTTTATATTAACTCTAAACAGCTTCTTCGTAATAAATCTGTAATGATGTGCAATGAGTATTGATTGCTTTTGAAACTCTTTCGTCTTCAAAGAAGACTACGTTTTCTTCCATCGCGTTACCTGATCAAGGAATGTAAACTGCATTTACATGCAAACGTGTTAATTTATGCTCATTTTTTGAAGGAGACTTAAGAATGCAGTCTCCGAGTTGAAGACTGTGACTAAAATAATATTGTGATTTAATGGATTTTGTTAACATTACTATATAACACAGAATTAACGCTATAATTGATTTTCCATTCGTGTTCTCTGATCGTAAGTTTTTTTAGAATAATTATGAATGCATTTGGTTATAACTGCGTCATGTATTCCGATCTCTAACAACATGGATAACTGGTTGCTAACAAACTATACCTCGCAATCGAAATTTACAGTGTATTTTTCTATAAATCAAATTTTTGTAATTTTCTTGTTAGCGTCTACAACCAACGAAAGATCACTTTGTTCAAATTAAAATTATACTTCGAAAATCACACGAATAGCGTGAAATCGGTACTCGAGACTCATCTCGATCAGCATTATTATGTGATTGTAATACACTTACGTAACGATTAGTGTTTCTGGTTTCTGTTCACGTTGAAACTCGAATGGAAACACGAGGGAAGGAATTCGATAAGCGATCGATATTTCACGAGACGAGAATCGATAGAAAGGACGATGTTGCCTTTCGCTCAGCTGTATCACGACTGAATGTAAAATTGCTTTTTAGAGGAATCAGATAGTTGCAATTAGAAGGAGAAGTCATATGCTTATACTATTCAAATATAACGAGCATATTACCTTTTAATAAGTATACACATATTTACGCGTTCGATTGCGAAATTCTGTATCGGAAGATAGGGTAAATTATGTCTATTAATTTTTCCAACCGAACGTTATCTCATTTAAATGAGATAAATAACATTTTTCTTTACTACATAACATATTTTCAAATACATATTTATTTTTTAACAGAGTACTCTTATACTTCGGAGTATTTTTATAAACTGACCTTCTACATTTTTAATTAATTCCTACACAATCTTTGATGCCTGATTCTTGCTAGCTAGCAAAATCCATAAAATTGCAACGAGTCTCGTTTTTTGACATCGGCTGTCGCCAGACAGACTAACCTTCATACTTGATCGAGCATCTTATATTTACTCATAACTACTTTTTACCGAGATGCTTCATTGTAAATCACGATTATAAAATCATAGCCAGTGGTTTCATTAGGTAGACAAACGTCATTATAATTTTATTTGCTGTTTTATGCAAATTCAGTCACCTTCTTCTTGCCGCAAATTAGTACCTAGCGCAGTTACATCGAATAAATGTCAACGGTGCGATAAAAAATTCTATTTTGACTTGTTAAGAACCGGTATCGTTCAGTTGCATTAGCATTGACATAAGGAGATACTCTAGGGTCTCGCTATATGGCCGTCGAGGAGTAATTAAATTCGCTTTGAACGCTGAAGATGTAAGAAATTTCAAAAATTTGAATACATGAAAACTTGAAAATTTGAACAATCCTGAATTACAAATGATCACAGTGTATCCTAAAGAATTAAGACACATTTTGCGTCACATGTTTTTTCCCCTTCAGGATGATCCTTTGCGAAAAATATCCTTCCTCCACACTCAGAGACCACAAAAAAGATCATCATTCACTTCACTAAAATTTTGTCGCGATCACACTATTTTTCCACGAGAATCAAACCACCAAAACTTTCAGTTTAACAATAGACGCAATGCCTCAAAAGGGGAACCAGTGTTACCACCAAATATTCAAATATCTATCACGAATACGAAGAACGTTATCTTTCGGATATTTGTACGCTGACTCACCATTTTATCAAAAATTCTTTCTAAGCGATCGGTATAGTGCGGTCGATCGATCGACAAGAATTAAAGATCTAGATTCGATGTCGCATCGAACAATGGGGGTTTGCTTAATTTTAGAAACGTTCAGAACGGAAGTAGCTGGCGGGGGAAGTTCATTGTAACTTATTCATGGAGTCAAAAGAGTCGAGGCCGTTGTTTATTTGCATACAAGCGTCTAACATTTCATTCTTTCCTATAAACGTGCATTGTGCACTTCGAATATTCGTCCCTGCACGTTTATTTATTACGATGTTAATATACATTAACATATTAGCTAATATGTAATATTAGCTGACGCTGATAATTGATACTATTGTCACCTAGTGCATTTATCACACCTTATTATTTTATGCAAATATCCACATTTTTTTACGTTAGAATTTTATTTTACGTTACATTGTTACAAACTTGTATTAATATTCGTGTCAGAATGATGAATAATGTATTAGTCAACGTCCACGAAACGTTTTTATTTGAAAATATTTTGCCTGTAGCCGCATAACTAAAAATAAGAAATTCGGGAGAGTAAAGATCACGTCGAATATGTGGAATGTTCCAATGGTGGAATATTTAGGTCGAACAAAGGTCCCGTTTAGAAATCGCGATCAAAATTAAACGATTGAACATTTAAATATCACTCGATGTAACAGAATAATTGTACAAGAGAAAATTTGCATTGAATTATGTGAGCGTGAGATTTTATTCAATATACCGGTGACACACGTAATCGTGAAAGTAATACACGAACGAGAGCAAGATATAATCGTTTGCACGCCTTTCCGTTTCCTTCTTCTACATGTCGTGACTTTCTAGAGTATGGAACTAGTGCTCCATTGATTTTCCTTCAACTTTCTCTTTCGGGAGCAAGATAACATTTCTAAGTCTAAACCGCTTCATTCATCGGCAAAGTGCGATGTAATCGAGAAAGTTCGCTCGTAATATTTATCGTTTATGGGTTTTAATCTCGGGTGATTGACGCTCGTTATGATGGCATGTATGAGGATGTGACGTGTGGTAGTATGGGAAGATGACTTTCTATGCAGTGCTTAGGAAATTTGGGGATTTGGGGGCGTAGGAAGTTGGGGGTTTAGGGATTTGGGAATGTACGAATTTGGGGGTGTAGGAATTT